TGAAACACAAGGTCAGCGGGACAAAATTTAAAAGAGGAACAGCTCAAAAGAGAGAGAAGCTGGCTGTGCATGGTCCAAAATTACTCTCTGGCCAGAAAACCACCAGCCCGGCTTGTTTCTGTCCTTTAATTGAGATGTGATGTGCGGAAATCAACAGGCTGTAGCTGCCAAGAACTCACTTTTAATGGGAGATATTTAAGGCACTTAGGAAGCTAAGTTGTACTTTATCCACCTAGGTCTTTTGTTACTTGAGTGGCAGCTGCTTTCTAGGTCTCAGGCAGAGCATCAGGGCGGCTAGTGGTCATGCTGCCTGAGGATGATGGGAGTTGCAGTCCAACACGTCTGGAAGGCACCTGATCCCTTTTCAAACTGAAGAGAATGGGTGTGGGAACGTCCCCATGCAAAGACGGTCAGGCAAGCTACTTTCGGGGCCAGCTTTGGGTTCTGCCTCACAGGCCTCCTTCACCTTTAAGGGGTCCAGGTGGAAAAGGTCTCGAGGACTGCTGAATGGGTGTTGCAGTAGAAAAGGGGATGTTTGCAGGTGCCGCTCATTGTGCAAGCCACCTTGCCCGGGTTCAAGGCGGCCGGGGAGGGTCGCCTCCTCGGCCAACAGTTGCTGCGCCTGTTTAACAGCCATCCAGTCTGCAATGACAAGGAAGTGATTCTCTTGAACTCCATCTCAGCAAAGGAACCTGCTGGTTTCTGTACAGCAAACTGGGGCAGGGGTATGCCAGGAGGAGCGCCTCCCCCCATGCTGCCCACTAGCCAGCTGGCACCTGCATCTGGGGAATATGGCCCCTGAAGACTCGGGGCCTCCAGAGGAGGAAGACGGCTTTCCTCCTCAGCTCTAGGGCCCATGGCAAGCAGCCTCGTTCCTCCCTTTCCTGAGCTGGGGATGCGTCACTACCCAGGAATTCTGTTGCCAAGCAAGCGAGGGATGTGGAAAGCTTGAGGCGCAGCCATGGAAAGCCCCTGCCACTGATTCCCTTACCTGCTGCTGCATTTTTCCAGATCAGTCTCTAGTGTTGCTCTCAAGTGGCTGTGCGTATGCCTTTCAGAGGCCTGGAGAGTGCCCATGGGGACCAGATAGGATGTTTGGGCCGCTGTTTGCATGCTTTGCCTTGTTTTGTTTTGTTTTGACACACTACTTTGTCTCAGCCTGGCAACAGTCCATGCATCTCTGCATTCTCCTCTCCAGTTTTTGAAGCCAAACTTTCTTCCAGGCAGGACCAAGGCATGCAGCTGGACCCCTGTCGATCACTGACTATATCTGCATTCTTTTTACAACTTGTTTAGTTGCAAAGTCATGACTGACCCATCACGACCCCATGGACAACATTCCTCCAGGCTCTTCTGTCCTCCACCATCCCTCGAAGTCCACCCAAGCCCACACCCACTGCCCCAGTGACTCCATCCAGCCACCTCATCCCCTTCTCCTTTTGCCCTCATTCATTACCAGCATTACGGTCTTCTCCAGTGAGTCCTTCCCTCTTATTAGGTGGCCAAAGTATTTGAGTTTCATCTTTAGCATCTGGACTTCTAAAGAGCAGTCAGGGCTGATCTCCTCTAGGACTGACCAGTTTGATCGCCTTGCAGTCCAAGGGACTCGCAGGAGTCTCCTCCAGCACCACAATTCAAAGGCCTCAATTCTTCTGCGCTCAGCCTTCCTTATGGTCCGACTCTCACAGCCATACATTACGACTAGGAAAACCATAGCTCTGACTATACAAACTTTTGTCAGCAGGGTGATGTCTCTGCTTTTCAGTATGCTGTCTAGGTTTGCCATAGCTTTCCTCCTAAGGAGCAAGCGTCTTTTAATTTCATGGCTGCACTCACCATCTGTAGTGATCTTGGAGCTCAGGAAAATAAAATCTGTCACTGCCTCCTTTTCTTCAACATCTATTTTTACCACCAGGGGGCATCATCTAGATTTTTCTGCCTCCAGTGCCAGGCTTCATTAATTGCCAGGAAAGGAAAAAATACTTGCATATTCTCTGGAACAATCCTAAAACACTTTTCTGGAAGAGTTCTCTTAGACAGACCTGCCAAGTCATTCTGCTGTTTGACTTCAGGTGTATTGTTAAAAACTTCTGATGAGGACTATTTGCTACAATTATTTTTATAGCTGCGTGTGTGCCTGACATTTTTTTGTGTTTTGGTTGGCTTTGGCTGATTTCAGGGGAAGCTTTCATTGGGCAACTGCCCTACCTCGAACATGGAATTTTACAGAGGGCCTGGACAATGTGATCTTCCATTTATAACTTGCCCTCTTTTCACACAGCATCTTCCTTTCTACAACAGGAAATCCATCTGGGAGAAAAGGAATGCAAAACTAGTCAAGGCTTTTTGACTAGTTGCGGTAGGAGCTGTACAGCTTTTATTTATTTTGGGCATTTTTATTCTGGCAAATCTCCAAAACTCTTTGGGTAGTTCAAAACAATGTAAAACATAAAACATACTATAAAATACAATATAACATAGAAATAGCATATTTCTTTTAGTAATGTTCTAATGGGTGTTTTGATACTAGAGTCATTAGCATGAATTATAATTTTTAAAATGCAGCCATTCTTGTCAGGAGATTCCAAACACCACATATATGCTTCCATATAGCCAGAGGTACCTGTTCCTACCTAATCTTGGAAGCTAAGTAAGATCCAGCTTGCTTGAAATGTGGATGGGTGACTCAAATCCAAACAGCTTCAACTATGGACAGTATAGAAAGATAATGTGATAATAACTGATAATGATAATCACAGCTGTATTCTCCCAGCAGCCCTGTGAGAGAGATTAGTCCAAGGGGGCATGTCTGACCCCAGATTACTGGGTGAGTTCCATGGGGACCTCAAGTGGGGACTTGACTCTGGTCTCTCCCACGCCTCGTCTGACACTTCAACCACTAAGCTGCACTGGTGAGCTGGCTGGTCAACCAGATGTGCACGGATTAGCAGGTGATCACATTTCCCTCCACACTGTGACAAAGCTCCAACTGCTTCTTTGTGGGTATCAGCTTGCAGTTAAAGGCACAGCTGCAAAGGCCAGTTAAACTTAGCAGCTCCGAGAGCCAGTGTGGTGTAGTGGTTAACAGCACAGGGCTGGGGCTGGGGCTGGGGCTGGGCGATCAGGTTCTAGTCTCCATTCAGCCACGGAGGCTGCCGGGTGACTGTGAGCCAGTCAGAGACTCTCAGCCCAGCCTAAATCTCAGCACAACCTACCCCCGTACCTTGTTGTGGGGCTAAGATGGAGAGCAGGAAGAAATGAAAGAGGCAAATTGCTCTGAGTTCTTGAAAAAAGAAAAAAGTCAGGACATACATCTAAAAATAAATGGAATTGGCATTTTATAAACGAAGTGAACATTGGTAGGCTTGCTAATTTTTCCAGACCTTATGCTTTGTTTGGGCTGCTCTGGGGAGAATGAGGGTCCTTGGGCAGCAGAGAGCATGTGCTAGCCCTTGTATCTCTCCAGCACTCACAGCTCACGCCAAAACATGGATTCCTAGGGTTGCCGAGGTATTAACAGCAGCCTGACCAGCAAACGCGATACTTTCCTGTCCGGCCTGTGCAGTGCTGTGAATGCTGCACTTCTGTGGGTGTCACCACTCTGAAAAGCATCTCAGGAACACTCGCATCAGTGTCACCCTGAATCTGAACAGGTGGCCCCGAGGGGAAAGCATGCAAGTGAACTTCAAGCCCTTGCATAAAAGTGTGGGCGCACCAAGAGCGAGGAAGGGGCTGGGCAAATGCCTGCACATGTCTCTGCAACATGGGTGACACCTGCTGGATTGGGCGCTCCCTGTTCAGGTGCACGTGTGCGTAATTTGGAGAAGGCAGTCTGTCCATCTGAGCGGAAGCTAGGCTCGTTCCCATCAGGATAAACCAGCAGAGTTGAACTTCGTTCAGCCCGAGAGCTGGATTTCTTCTGAAGCCGCTCTCAGGGGCCGCATTCCTGTGGAGGGGTGAAGTCCAAAAATCCCTGGCATATTTACAACCATTTTTTCTTTGTCTGGCAGGCCTGCACCCCAGATCCTTTAGGCACCTGGCGCTGCCCCTTAACTTTATGATTCTGTCTGGTGTAACATTTATTCTGCCCTCCCTCCAAGGATCTCAGGGCAGCAGGCACGGTTCTCTTCCCTGTGGCTGCGTAGTTCATCTCAGAATTGCCCTCACACAGGAGAAGATGGTCCTTCCAAGTAGCCAGGTCCCAAGCAGGTTCGGGATTTAGAAGCACTAAACCAGCAGCTGGAGAGGCCCCTGGGAAGAAACAGGCAGCCAGTGCACCTGACAGGATCAAGGCTATCGGGGGGTTCTTATGACCCTCAGGGCAGCCCAGTCAAGACGTGAACAGCGGCATTCTGCTGTTGCTGGGTGGTTTGCAGGGCTGGCCCCACATGCAGCTTGTTACAGTAGTCCAGCAGGGCTGTAAGGGATGCTGGGAGGTGACACCAGGAACCACCAGCAAAGCCAAGCAGGAGCCGTCCTCTCCACAGTGGATCCTGCCCCTCCAGCAACCAGACTGGGTTCAGGAGAGCTTCAGTCTTGGGCTGGTCAGACCCTATCTGTGGACAGGAAGGTTTGCTAAGCAAGAGGAAGCTCAGGATCTCCTCTTGCTGGTGCTGGAGTGTAGGACACGGAATGATCAAGTCAAGCTGCAAAAACCCAGGTTCAGGCCAGCTATCACGAAAAGCTTCCTCATGGTCAGAGCAATACAGCAGTGCAACCAGCTGCCTGGAGAGGTGGGGGGCGCTCCCACACTGGAGACATTCAAAAAGAAACTGGGCAGCCATCTGAGTGGGATGGTGTAACGTGGTGTCCTGCAACAGCAGGGGGGTGGACCTGATGGCCTTCCTGGCCCCTTCCAACTGTACTATTCCACAATCCCCTCTCTCTTGTCTGGATTTCATTTCTGTCTATTTGCCCTCTTCCAGCATCCCTGATTCCAGATCCCAACACCTGGAGGCCAACACTGATGCCTTGCCTATTTGTTTTTATCCCACCTGCAGGAGGCGCTGTCTGTTGTAAGCGAGGACCAGTCTATATTCGACCAAACCTTTGGCACCCCACACCTCCTGAAGTCTGAGCTGTCGTCAGTGGATGATTATGGTGGCAAGGAAGGCCTCGGGCTGGAGGAGACCCAGTGGCCCACGCAGACCAACAGAAGCCATGTGGTGAAGCAGGAAAATGAACAGGTCAACTGTGCCAACAGGTCAGCAGCGGTGTGGGGTTGGGGCCGACTCGGCCCTGAAACACGGAAAGAGGAGCGAGAGCAGAGTCACATGTGGTTCATCTTAACTCTAGATTGTGTGTCCTAGCCCATAGTTGGAGGCTGGCTTGTTTCAAGAAACTATAGTTAAGGTTAACCACGGTTTGCCGGGGCAGATAGCATGGAGAACTCCGGTTCAACAAAATTGGATGTTCAACAAAATTCCATTGTTCTTGTTGCAGCGTGCCAGACAGCAAATGAAGCAGGCACGTCCAAGCAGAGTCTAGGCTTGTTCGCATCATGATAAAGCAGGGGTGTTAAACTTCGTTCAGCCCAAGCGCTGGATTCCTTCTGAAGCCACTCTTGGTGGCTGAATTCCAGCGGAGGGGTGAAGTCCAAAAATCCCTGGCATATTTTAACCTAAAGCCAGTAAAGCCACTTTAATAAAAGCATTTCAACTTTTCAAAATGGAGTGTGTATGTGGGGCGGGGGGGGGGGGACGGGGGAGGGATGCGGCAAAGGCCAGGAAACCACCAGATCCAGATTGCTCACCGGTTGAGGGAAGGAGCTGTGACCAGAGGAAGGAGCTGTGGGACCCCACGCAACCTGAACCAGGTTCCAGGCCCAGATTCTGCACTCCTGCACTAGACCATGATTCAGGGTTTAGCGTGAAACCCAGGCCTGACCACAGCTTTCCTCGGCTCGCCGCTCATCACTTTACACTGCAATTTTTGCATTGCTGATTGAATTATGTGCATTTTGAGTGGGCTATGCCCTCCCACCATTATTAAGTGGCCTGAATTTAGGAGATCTCTGTTCCAGAGGAAGACACGTCTACAAAGAGGCCGCTCTGCACCCCTGGGGCTCCGTCGCGCTTCCGGGACCTGCTCGCACAGCACGGCTTCCTCCCGAGCCTGTCCCTGCGTGGCTGTGCTCCTGCATGCCCACCTGCCCCTCTTTGGCGAGTCTTTCTGGAGGCTTGCCTGAACGCCAGGCACATTCGAGAGCTAGGGAGCCCTGAACTGCACTGACCTCTTCCCGCCAAATGCTTGTTGCTGACGCAAGGGCCACCAGCAAGGCTGCTTGCGGGAGAGGAAGCCGGCTGCTTCCTGAAGGCCCCGCCGTGCAGCCGTGCAGAGTGGCAAAAAGTGACTTCCAGCAACCGATTCTGGGGTGAGAAGGCAAGCCAGGCCAGCTCCTCTGGGCCCAGCCCCCAAGCCAGGGTTGGAGCAGAGGCTTCATTGCGGGTTTGTTTTCATCTCTAGAATGTATATCGCCTGCTTTTAAACTCATGTGTTTCAATACCAAAGGGTTTGGGAACCAGGTCCCAGCTGACTGGGAAGATGGGAGCAGAGCTGATGCTGATAAAAAGATCCAGGAGAGCCCCCACCCCACCACACAGACACATTCACATATGCTTGACAGTCTGTGCTTCTCAGCTTTTCAACCAGTAGTAGTCACAGTATGTGTCCTGCTTTACAGAAGATATTCCTGTCTTTGAAGGCATCTTCTATTTAAAGGACCCCCAAGTCCAATTAAAGGAAGTTGCTTGAAGCTGCTCATCCGCAGTTCATCCTGGGAGAGCTGCTTGGGCATCTCCAAATGAAGAGGACCGAGGGGAAAGCTGCGCATCACATGCGTGGATGCAAATGTATATGCATCGAATATAATGATTTGCAATTATGTATGCGTATGCTCATTTATAAGTATAGATGCAATTGATATGCATAGAAAAAATACAGAATCATTAATTTAAATAGAAATTCGGTGCACCTGGCCCTTGTGGAGAAGACTGAAATCAGGTGACCTGCATTTCTTGCTGGTCCTGCTGCCCAGGTGGTAAATACGGATGGGCAACCTGAGGCCCTGCACAGAATCCCTTTTTTATGGTTCATTTGTCTTAAAACGGGCTTCAGACCAGACAGTCCTTCAAACAGAGGATCACCCTCCGTAAAGTCGGACATGTAGCCCCTCTAGAACTTAACATTTCAACGGCAGGCTGATCAGGCACCCAAATTACCTGGTTGCAGCTTTTCCCAGTGTGGAAAGATGTATCCTGCCACTTGCCTTCTAGCTGTGAAATGAGCTTTGTGTGGCCTGTGCAAGCTCCAGTCCTCAGTGAACATGGCGTTTAACAAAGTCGCATCTCTTTCGCACCAGCAGGCAATCGCCTGTGGACTGTAGCGTCACCCGGAGGAGTAAAGTGGGGGGTGTGGTTGACCCAGCCCAGGTGTCTTACCCAGGCGGATACAGCAACCCCCGTGGCAGCCCCCCTGCCAACCCCCCCAGCGAAGAGAAGAGGGTCATCGTTCCAGCAGGTCAGTTCTCAAGAAGATGCACGCATCTTCTCCGAATCTGCACGCATCTTCTCCGAATCTGCACTCGCCTTTTCTGTTCTGAGTGCAACCTTTCTTCTTATAATGGCTGGTTTCCATATAGCACACCCCAGATGTGGTTGGGTTACAGATCACATTATTCCCAACCACTGGTCATGCTAGTTGGGGCTGATGGGAGTTGTTGGCCCAAGTTGTCTAGAGGGACCCACACCGGTGAAGGTGGAGGTAATGGTTGGCCTCCCAGGTTGTCCTCTCCTCTCTGGGCTCCCACATGACCTCTTTCTCAGCCTGTTTTTAAGGCCGGAACACAGACTAGGACCACACAAGGTTAATGTGCCTCTGAACATGTGAAGAGTGCATCCTAGTCACTTCCGGGAATTCTTTATTTGTAAGAACACCTTCAACCCAAAGGCAGTCCTTCGACAGAAGTGCAACGTGCCCCATGGGCTGCCTGCAACCCTCCAGGCCTTTCTGGTGCCTCCCACCTGCCCATCCCACTGCTACTGTTTGTTTGCCCCCTTACGGTCATGCCGGGGGGAAAGAAGCGGGGGTATTTCCTTAAGACGAGGCAAGCACTGCCCCGCACCCAAGGCAATAGGCACCATGACGCAGTGAACCAAAGAAGAGGGCATCCATAATCAAGAGAGAGAATTTAAAGAGAGCCCTAGCTGGGAAGGCTGTGAGCGGAGGGTCCTTGTGCCTGTGCGCTCATCTGCTCTCCAGGTAGCATTGGTGGGCAGCTTCAAAGCCCAGCTCTTCCTCTGGCTGGTTTTTGGTCTCTCAACCAGAACTAGACTGGGCAGCGCTTCCAAAGGAGGATAATCCCCCAGCAGCCACCCAGGCAGAGGACGGCCGGAGGGCGGCTGGCCACCCCACGGCCCGGCTGCTCCCTGCATCGTGTGGCTCGGCCCCTTGGCTTGCTTGCTTCTTATCCAAACATCTCTCTCCCTCCAACAGACCCCAGCGTGTGGACCCATGAACACGTCCGCCAGTGGCTGGACTGGGCAGTGAAGGAATACAGCCTCCTCGATGTCGAAACGAGCCACTTCCAGCATATAGATGGCAAAGAGCTCTGCAAACTGGGCAAGGAGGGCTTCCTGCGGCTTACTACATCCTACAACGCTGATGTGTTGCTGTCTCACCTCTCTTACCTCCGCCAGAGTAAGGCCACAGACACCTTTGCCCGGGCAGGTCCCTGCCTGCCCGAAACAAAACGAATCACCGTATGACACCCACAGACACTTGGAAAGATGGTTGGCTCCGCCCAGCTCCACTAGCAGTGCCTGATGCAACTGCACTTGGGTTGCGATGGAAAGCTCAAATTGCTCTCCATGTCAGCTCGCCCTTTGTCAGACTGCCTTCATGTGGAACGCTAGCACATCAGGCAATCCCTTTCCCTGACATGCTAGCTTCCTGTGTGCAGGGAGCTTTTAGAACCATTCGTTGTGTTCTGCTTTTAAAACAAGAAGTTTATCTGAGAAACGCATATCAACCATAGCAGAACAACAAAACCTTCCACACAGAGAGCTTGCTTCACATTGTTCATCTCAGGTTCGACATATAATTTAGGACTGCTGTCCCTGAACACACCCCTTTCGTATACATTTGAACCTCTGCTCCTGCCACAAGCAGCCTCTTTTTCAATATTCACTTTGCCTATTACTACACCCGTCCCAAAATAGGACTGCACATTTGGTAGGTTCTGCCCTATAGACCCTGCATTAATATATGCAATTTAGGGGAACCACGATCTAAGAGTGGGACTGTTTGATTATCCCTTTGATGAATTAGTTATGCTGCATTAGCTTTTCTGAAAGGGCACCTCTGAGATTTTCAGAAAACCACCTTCTAATTTTTGTTTTTCAGTATCACACTCTAACCATTGTTGCCACTGCTGGTAATAGAACAATCGGTTTTTATATAACAGCTGCTTTTGTGTGTCATCAAAAATAGAAAGAGGAGCACTAGTAATTGCTCTTTAAGAAATACAGTTGAAAACGTCTATCTTTAATACACGTAATCACAAGCCTGCCAGATATCAAGAAATACCTTTGGCCTAAGAATCCCTCCAGCAATTTGGGGAAAGATCTGTGTTAATAGGACGCAGTTGCACAGGTGCCCGATGTAGCCACCTATGTATTAAATTTAAATGTATTTCTCTGATTGTGCCTGAAATAGATTTAAGTAGGTCGTTTTCCCAGACTGAGTTCCACCGTGTGCCTGCAATCAGGTTTCACGTCACCCAGATGCCTAATTTCTCGCGCAACCTTTCTTGGGAAGGGGCTTTGCCTGATTTGTGTCTACTTGCAAAGAGACGCTGGACCATTCTGGAGAAGCTGCGCTCCAGTGGTGGCAGGAGCAGAGGCAAACGGGTGAGGGCATAAAGCCAGCATAGTCTAGTTGAAAGCACTTACTGCCCGAGAGCCTTAGGAGAGTGTTGCAACCTTCTGGGGTAGCAATAAAATTGCACACAATTGCTAGGACAACCCCCCCTCCCCGCCCCGCAGGCAATGGACAGTTGGGGGAACAGGGCCTGCTGGAGAAGCCCAGCTTGAGGTTCTGCACCCCTGTTTGAAAGCATGGAGAAACTTTCCCACAAGCATATGCCCCCCGCCTCCTTGCAGCCTGAACAGACAGGGCTGTGTATCCACTCCAGATTGTACCATCCAGAAAGAACTGCACCATGTGACAGCAAACGAAGTTGCCAGATACTGTAGTGTTTCCTCTGGCAACAGAGCCTCTCAGAGTCCCAAGTGGACGGAGCTGTGAGTGAGTGACTCTGCAACTCTCTTCCTGCAGTCATAGTGCAGGGGCGGAAGTTTTGCTTTGCATGACATCTCTTGCTAAAGGGGCCCAGTGACAGGTGATGGGATAAACATTCCATGTTCAGGTACTGGAGATCTGTTACCTGTCCAGGTAGGTGATACTGGCCTGGACCAATGGTCTGACCACAAGGCATTGTCCAGTCCAGAGTAGATTGTAAACACCGCATCCACGCTAACATTTCAATGTGCAGCATACAGAGACCCCGATATGTCGACTAGCAAATTTAGATGATCAGGAGGAAAAATTCAGAATCTGATTCAAAGCCTCATCATATGCCTGAGAGAAGAAGCAGGTCTTCAGCTGACACTGGAAAGATTTGGCTGCAGGCAGGTCTTTCCAGGGAGACGATCCCATAACTGACAGGGCCACCACTGAGAAGGCCCTGTGCATTGTTGCTGCTTTCTGAAGATCTCTTGGAGGAAGCAGCTGGAGGAGGGCCTTACCTGGGCAACGTAGTGTATGGGCAGGTTTCCCATGGGAGAGGCACCCACCTCTGTTCATACAGCCAGGGGTAAGGGAGCTCTTATCTTGGATGTATTGTCTCCAAATCTTGCATGTGTAAGGCATGGCTAGTCAGCGGCTCTTCACCCTAATCATTCTTTCCTGCTTTTCTCACCAAATAGGCAGCCCCACTTTTACATACCCGTCTGCTCCAGTCATTACCCAACAGCCGCCGCCTCCTCCTCCTCCAGCACCACGGGCCCAAGTCAAATCTGGTGAGTTCACAGGACCAAGCCAGCACCTGCAGCACAAGACCACGCGTGTGGGAGAGACCACTGGGGCAGGAGCTGCATCTTCCAAACACAATGCTAGAGAGCAGGGGAGATTGAACTGCAGAGCTAGTCAAGCAATTCCTAGCTGGGAACGAGCTTTTGGGGCAACTTGGGAGAGGAGAAGTTATCCTTTGCCTCCTTTGTTTCAGATTACGACCCAGTTTGCATGTAATGGTGAGCACACAGGAACTTCTGTGAGCAGAGTTGACCCATGGGCTGTTCTTGGGTTAACTCTGAGCTATTTAATCTGGAATTAAGTCATACCATTTGAGTTTGCATGCCATGGGATAACCATGTCTTTGGTGTTGCTGGGTTGTTTATTTAAAGCTGGAATGATATGTTCCGTATTCATTTAACCCAGGAATTGCCCCTTTTACGTGTGAACCAGATCAGAGTGTAACCATGGTTGCTTCTACAGTGCCCACTTAATCTGGAATTGGTATTCTTTGCTTGTATGGACCATCCAGATGACGTTGTCTTTATTCCAGCCTTGATCTGTCATGACCTTTTTAATTAGTTAAAATGCAGCTGTAGTATCAGATTGTCCAGTGGCAACATGCTATCCGGGCTTTTCAGAGCTCCTGTACCTTTAGCTAGAAGCTTCCTCTTTGTAGCTTCTGTACCTAATAGCTTCCTGCTAAGCATGGTGCAGCAGCAGTGTTGAATTGCCCTTTTATTATTTCGTCCCTGCATGTTTGCCCTCAGGGTGAGCACACATGTTTTATCCTGCCCATCAGCCATAAGGCTCCCTGGGCAGGTTACAAGTAGCAATATAATGCAGTAGAACAAAGCTAAGCATGGTGAATGCTCATTCTACTGTTCTTTCCCCCTGTTTTCCAAGACTGGGCCTTTGAATCTTTCTGCAAATGTTGCATTCCCCTCTGAAATTTAATTTCTGCTTAACTTCGGCATCTCTTCACAGAGTCTCCATATGAAGAAATCCGGCGGAGCAACTGGGGCAGTGGGCCCATTAATGCAACCCCCAAAGGTACCATTTGTTCTTCCAGAGGGGACTTTGAACCCCAATTTTAATAAGAACATGAGTCCTGCTGGATCAGACCAGCATTCATCTTTCTGGCATTCTGTTCATACAGAGGCAACCAGCATCGGCAGAAACCCTACAGCACCCCCCTGCCTGTCTTCCCCAGAAACTGGTATCCACGTGCTTTCTGCCTCTGATGCTGGAGGTGGCAAATAGCCATCAAGACTGGTAGCCACGGGTTGTCTTTCCTCTGCAAATTTCTGCAGTCCCCTTTTAAAGCCATCTACTCTATACCTTGTGGAAGTGAATTCCATAGTTCAACAGTGTGCAACGTAAATGTCCTTCTCCTCTGCCTGAATCTTCTGAATACCAAACCTTGGCTGGTGTTGGCAAAAAACAGGAGATAATTCCTTTTCGCCTCAGGACCAAATTCTACTGCTGGGAAGTCCTGGGAATGCTGGGACTGGATTTGACCCCTAGGCTGAACTTCTGCACCCCTGACTATTGTGAAAAGCCATGGCAGCACCCGCTTAAGAAGCAAGCTGCTGCATTTCTTTGTGTGCTACTGTTTTAGATCCTCACTCGTTCTCCTGTAATACTTTTTTCCTCCCTTTCACCTTTCAGGTTCCCCACCACAGATCCAGGGGGTGGGTCGGACTCCAGATTCAACACGTGTAGCTCCAGGTGCGTCTTTCTACCTCACCTTAGAAGAACTTCCACCACTTTCTGCCTTAGGAGTATTGCTATTTTTGTTGCATTTAATTTATATCCTACTTTTATTTCTCCTGCAAGGAACCCAGGGTGGCTGCTTCATCTCTTAGTCCTACTTAGGTGGGGCAGGTCAAGAGTGACTGGTCCAAAGACACCAGTGGGTTTCATGGCCAGTTGGGACTAGAACCCGGGGCTTCTGGGTCAGGAGTCCAACCTCCTAACCACACTCTCTGCCAGCGTTCTCATTTCTAGTCCCCACTCAGCCATGCAGCCCACCGGGTGACTTTGGGCCAGCAGGAATTCTCAGCCTCCTGAAGGGGAACTTTGTAAGCCTCTCTTGCAAGAGGAAGAAGGTGGGATTTAAATGCACCATAGAGGACGATCACTCTAGGCTTCCTCTAATAATTTGCCTGTTTACACCACACGCTGGGGAGCATGGGAGGGGTTTTTTCCCCTGCCTTCATGGCCCCCCTGTGAGTTACCTGTGGAGAGCTAGCTGGCCACTGCATGAACAGAATATTGGACAGATGAACCCTTGGTCTAACCCAGGATGGCTCTTCGTATTTTCTTACGCTTTCTGAAATGGATGTATTTTGCCCCCAGCAATGGTAGGAAGGAGCAGACACCAGGGTGAACGTAGCCGGTAGAGAGGACGCTCATCATCAAAAGGGCACAGACTGGCATAAAATCTGCATCTGCTAATGCACCGCATGGATGCAAATTTGGAAAGGACCGCTGCCACCCAAACAGGCTGGCCATCTCAGCCTAGTAGGGGAGGCTGTAAGCAGGTGAGCTGGGAGCCCCAGCTCAGCCCGTTGTCCAGCAACGAACTGTGGACAGGCAAACGTGGTGCCCTACTCTGCTTTCCTAGCATCCTCAGTCTTTGTGCTGGAACTGCAGTGGAACAGGGGCACAGGTTGATCAGGAGTTCAGAACTGCGTTCAGTCGAGAACTGAGTTCCCTTTCAGGGCTGTGTTGAAGGGGAGAAAGAACCTGCATTGGCTAAAATTCTCTTCCGTGTTACGTCACAAGGGAGAATTGATCTGGGCTGTCCCTAGCCACCTGATGACATGCCTTTCTTTGAGGGGGGGGGCTTCTTACCTCTACAGCAAGAGTGTTTCCCACCCCCACCTTCTCATCACAACAACCTGGTAGGGTAGCTCATGCCAGTTCTCACTTTAGCTGCTAGAAAAGGAAAGGCTACAGGCAGAGCCGCATTCCTGGTAGGTCAGTAAGCAAAGCCACGGCTGAGCTGCAGCGTGGTCAGTATTTTAATGGCAGGGCTCCCGTCCTGTGCCTTGCGCAGCTAGCAGAAATTCAGCCTGTGGAGTCTTTTCTGGCACAGAAATAACCGGGATAGGAAAGGTTCAGTGCTGGATTTTGGCTTGCCGTGTAGCTGCTACAGGTTGAGACCATTCCAAGGTGAGTGGGAGCAACAGGAGGAAGCGGGTAATCTACCAGCCAAGTGCTAACTCGGCTGCTCATGCAACAGTGTCTACTAAAATATTCTGGTTCTTGAGGGGTTGGGGCACAGGCCACATTTTCCTCAGGTGGTCAAGTTTTGGACTTCATCACTGTTCACTTTGCTGAATGCCTAGTCTTCCATTGAGAGGAGAAAAACAAAAAATCTGCCTTCCTTGCATTTGGAAAGCCGCCATGTCACGGCCCTAGCCTCGATGTCTGCCTGACAGGCTACCTTTCTCCGTGCATGTGAGAACATTCAGTCAGTGAGACCCAGGTCCCAGCCAAAGTGGTACAGCCCAGACCAGAGGCATGCCACCTCGGCTAGAACTAGACTGGAGAGGCCCGAAGGAGAGCAATACGCATTCCAGGCAGTGGGCCAGGGTAGTGCTTCAGGGGCCGGGGTCCTTCCAGTGCGTCTGACTCTAGCCCCTCTCTCATACCCTTCTCGTTCCCACCAGATCCATACCAGGTCCTGGGACCCACGAGCAGCCGCTTGGCAAACCCAGGTGGGTCCACATGTCTCTTCTCTCGGGGGCTGTGGATGGGTATACAGGGTCAGGGTGGCTTTACCCCTTTCCTGGCACAGATTGGTGGCGATGGAGAGGGGAGGCTTCACCTGCTGAATTTGCGCCTGCCAGGCTGCTGTTCCAAGCCAGGAGTTAGAGAGGGGAGTGGGGAAATAGGCTGCAGGAACTCACAGAGCCAGTAACTGTAGCTGACCCAGCAAGCCAGGTTGCTTTTCCAGGGGAAGAGAGCAGCGAGAACAGGGCATCAGGAACGAAAAGTCTAACACGGGTTTGCTGCAGGAGCAGTCAGCTTGCCGGCCTTGCAGGAGCTTGACTTACAACTGCCATCAGCCCTCACCCCTGGGGATGATGGGAGCTGTCGGCCAAGCGTTTGCAGTTGCCCGAGCGCTGGCCCGGAGCTTCTGCAGGAGGCGGCCCACCGTGCCCTGGCCGGCCTCGCGGCGCAGACCTCGCTGGTCCCCGGGGCACGATCCACGGCTGACCGCCGCCCCTTTGCTCTCCCGCAGGGAGCGGCCAGATCCAGCTGTGGCAGTTCCTGCTGGAGCTGCTGTCGGACAGCACCAACGCCAACTGCATCACCTGGGAAGGCACGAACGGCGAGTTCAAGATGACAGACCCCGACGAGGTGGCGCGGCGGTGGGGCGAGCGCAAGAGCAAGCCCAACATGAACTACGACAAGCTGAGCCGGGCGCTGCGCTATTATTACGACAAGAGCATCATGACCAAGGTGCACGGCAAGCGCTACGCATACAAGTTCGACTTCCAGGGCATCAGCCAGGCCCAGCAGGGGCAGCCGGGGGAGCCCCCGCTCTACAAGTGCCACCACACGGACCTGCCGTACCTCTCCGCCTACCACCAGCAGAAGGTGGGCTACGGCGCCCTGGGCCATGCCACGCAGGTGCCTGCCTCCTCCACCGGCTTCTTCGGGGCCCCCTCCCCCTACTGGAATGCCGGCAGCGGGAACCTCTACCAGAGCCCCCCCACGCCGAGGCAGGCTAGCAGCCACCTGAGCTCCTTCTTCTAGTCTTGGGCAGGCCAGCGGCCCCAGGACTGCTGCTGACCAGCAGGCCTCTTTGCTCAAGGATCGGCTGATCCTTCACGCCCCGAGGGGTTGGGCGACCTTGGAGAAAGAGGACGGTGTTGGCGAGCGCCTCACCAGCAGGGGCTCACCTGCCTGCACCTCCCGCTCTGCCCGAAAAGGCGGGAGCACCTCCATCCCTGCTGGACTTAGCTGGACCCCCTGAAACGAGCAGTTCTCTCCCTCCGCCAGAGATCTGAACTTGGCATGCGTGGCGCTGGAAGAATGAGAAAGCTGCAAGGGACGTGGAGTTGCTGCTCGGGCTGCTCGAGTATCTCCTCTCTCTTAACATCAAGGGCAGCCTTCCCTAGTCAGGCACCTTCCTGAGGGGTGGGCAGGCTGGCTGGGGAAGATGGGAGCTGTAGTCCAACACAGCGGGACCGTGCCAGTCCGATCTAAAATGATGCACAGCACAGTAGGACTGAGCTGTGTGTCACTGTAATGCGGCCAGCACTGCTGTCCAACAGTGTAAGGAAGTATAGGGCAGAGACATAGAAACAGAGCGAAACAGAAGGGGCCTCCCGGGCTATCTAGTCTGACCCCCGGCTCCAGCCGGCTCCGCTCACGACATGCCCACCCCGGTGCTGCCCCTTCATCCCATTGCTGCTCTAAAGTCTTTACAGATCTGAAACCAAGGTTTCGCCCAGCCATATGCTTGGGAAGCTACTTTTACCTTCTTTTAAAAGCCCAAACACATTGACTGGTGATGGGGAAGTTCCCCCCATAGTAGGCTCTGATCCCCACCCCATCAAAGCCCTGCAAATTAAACAAGTGAGGAGAGATACACACCCAAGGCAACTGCAGCTCCACCCCTTCCTCTTGTAGCAGCAGACTTCACCCCATTCCTCAAAACGCTGTGTGACAACAGATGTAGCAGAGCTGGTTTGAAAGGGCTTCTGCAGCCAGTTTTCTGAACAAAGTGAGCATGTGCAGCACTTTTGGTGGGAAGGGAAGCCGGCAGTGGCGAGTCCCAGTTGCTACCATGGCTGCCTTTCCCACACCCGCCACCCCAAACCAGTCCTCTTGTACAACTGCCCCCCCCCCACTTTCTCTGGCCGTTACTTTTCTTCTTCTCCCCCCTCCCAAAGTTATTGTGTGATTTGGTAAAGTGATGGTGAACATGAATACATATAAACATGTGTGCAGTTTGAAAAATATTTTATGAGACAATTGGCTTGCCAGAAGTGCTGGGAAGTGGTCAGCCTGGAAAGCCGACCTGACAAGTGAGCCCGCGTATAGAGGGCCGATTCTAGGTTTTTGAAGGCTTTGAGGCAAACCCCCCTCGCAGGTCCCTCGCTCAGAGTCTCCCTCCTGACCATCATTGTCACCAAACATGGTTGCTTCTCCACTTTCCCATCACTGCAGCTGCTCGCTGGCCAAGAGCCATTGAGCAAGCAAACTGGCACAACTCCTGGCCCGCCTTTTCCGTTCCCCTCTTGCCGGGCCAGACAAGGATGAAGAAGAGGTCCAGCTTGCCGGGGCTCTGTCAGAGGCCCCTGCTGGGTTGTGGGCCCCCGGCAGATGCCCACTTGTGTGTACCCTTGCTGCTGGGATGTTGAGTTCATGCCACAGGTTGATGGGTCCATGGTGCGCACCATCTAACCCTATTTCATCTCTTTTACGCCTGCTTACCCGCCAGCAATTTTTCCTCCTCACGCAATTGCAAGCCTCAAAGCACAACTGGTAAGACACCATTGAATAGCTGCAGCTAAGCAAGTCGGGTCCTGCACAGCCTCTTCCAAAAACGTGCTTGCAGATTGACTTGTAATCCTTGCTAGCAGAACCTGCATCAAAATGCTGCAGTGTGCAAAGCTTCTCTTGACTGAGACAGCCGTTCTCCAGCATCCCCTAGTTTATCCCGACCCTCCAGGTTTGCCATTTCCACCCCTGCAATGGTCAGCATTCCATGACCATCATGGGGCTTTTTTTTGCTTTTGTTTTGTTTGTGCTTTTGGAGGGGGGGAGGGAGCTCATTCCACAAAGGGGGGTGTGGAGGCTTTGTGGTTCTATAATTCTTGGTAGCCACCCCTGCAAGCCTCCCAGCATCCCTTGTGTGGGATGGTGTTTCTCAATTGGCCGTCCCCAGGGTTCTCAGCAGTCACTGGACTACAGCCCCCAAATGCTGGCTGAAGGGGATGGGAGTCACAGTTAGAGCCCCCCTCAGAGACCCAATGTTAGGAAAAGCTGCACAGTGACTGGTAGACGTGTATTAAGGTGGGTGTTACACTGGACACTTGGATCAGTTTGATCTTGCTTTAGCTTCCACTGCAGCTCCAGGGACTGGCATGATTATTGCTAAGGATGTTTGAGAAATTTCCATTTAGAACTTGCCACTTACCTTGACAGAGCTAGTGCTCCACAGGGCCCCAAATGCTGATTAGATTTACTCCATAGAGAAACACGAGGTAAGTAACCACAGGCAGCAGCATGAAGTGGGGAAAGAATAGACAACATCATGTGAAAGAGTAGGGTAAAGGAGCCCCTACATAAGGAAACTGCCAGGGGAAAACATCTGGCCCACAACCGTTACCAGCTACTGTGCCACGCCTGGCTTTGTGTTTTGCTTGCAAGGAGTGAATGTGTCTGTGCCTGCTTTCTCACAAAGGGGAGCACTGAAAATTTGATCCCTGCACTTTCGTGCTACAGTCCACGCCTATTCTGCTGCATGTTTTGGAATTCCCAGGGAGACAACTGTGGAGGGAAGTCCAGCCTGTAGCATATTATGGGGATATGGAGATATCTTCCAGTTAGATGTTGCAAAAAAACAACAGCAACTGAATGTTCAAACTTATACAGCCAAGAAGTCGTCAATGCTCAGAGGTCCTTTTGTTTCCTCCTATTCTGAACTTTAGAGGTGTAAGGGGCCATGGGGGGCAACCCACCACCAGAGCCGACTAGCATCCCGGCAAATGACCGGGCAGGCTGTGCTTGCGCATCAAGAGATGGAGCCCCTGCCATTTGCTGGGGCAATTGATTCTGGCAGAGAGTGCCGACTGGCAGGACGTTCTAGCCTTGCAGTCGTCCCACCTTGGCTCCCGTCTTGCCCTCTGAGACCGTAGAAAACCAGCCTGCTACACCTTCTAAGTGGCAGCCCTTCTGGTATTTTGAAATGTGTTGAAAGGGGCTTTGGGAGCCAGAGAGGCAGCTGCTCTGCTCTCCAGCACTCTGCCCCACTCCTGTGAAGGGGGCTGCTCTGCTACCCCTTGCCCAAGGCCAGGGGCTGGGCCTTGGGGCTGATTAGCTCAGCAAGGATAAACGGCAGAGAAAGACGTTGAAGCCTGTGGTAGCAGGCGAAAGGGTGGCCCTGTTTCAGCAGGGCAAGAGAGGCGGCCACAGGGCTGGCACACTCCCTTGCTGTTGCAAAATAGCTAGACGCCTCAACTGATTCCGCAGAAATACGCAAGAGTAGGCTGGCTGGAGCCGTGCGGCTCAGTGGCTTGGTGCTCCTGCACCAACAGGGGTTTTCCACTTCTCTGGGCCCCCCTGCAGTGGCCCCCGGCTGCTGTGCTGCACACAAGCACGTGTCCTGAAAGAGCAGTGCGAGTACTCGGCGGCCAGGGTGTCTCTGCGCAGCCCCTGGACTTTGGCGTGAGAAATCCGTGGCCGCCTCCACGTTGTTGCACAGAACACCACCATGTCTGATCAATGGTCATGCTGGCTGAGGAAGAGAGGAGCTGGCATCTCACAGCACTTGAAGGAGGGGCCGAAATGCCCCCCGATGCCTTTTCTGGGCAACCACCAAGGTGCCCTGACCTTCCCACTTAGAGAAGAGCATGTTCGCAGCTGCAGTGGGGCTCGCTGTAGGGGAGGCCTTCCATGGGGCTAAAAACTATGTTTCCAGAGGAATTACTTAGCGTGTTCTCACAGTTCTCACCTTGTACTCACACTTCTTGTCCTTTGGCATCTATCCCACAACAAGCTTTTTGTGGTGGTGCCCGGGACAATTTCTCAGATGGACAAATGCCCCCTCTGCTCCCCCCACCCCAACTTTGCCTCTGGGTGAGAGGGCCTGTGGGGTGGGGTGGAGTTACCAGCTGGAGTCTTGGAGGCCCCTGCGGACACAGATGTCCAATGAAGTGGCTGTTCTGGGATGCAGATGGGGATGTCAGATAGCCAGGGAGAAAGCGTGGCTTTTCATGTGCACGGCTCCGTAGGAGCAGCTCGATGTTGCCGCTGTGTGCGGGTGGTACTATTGCAGCACACGCTGCTGCATGGCGTGAAGAGCTTCCCTCGCTGCTTTCTGCAGCCCAAGCTGCTGTGAGAAGGCACAGGAGTCTGGGTTGGGGGCAAAGCTGTGCCAACCCTTGGTGAAGCCTTTTCTGGCTAATGGGGCAGGATCTCAATCCAATAAACAAACCAGCCTTGTCATTAGTTTAGAAAGCGGCTCCGATGGCCGGTCGGCTTGCTACAGGAGGCACTTGCACAGTGCATCGCAACCGGGTTGCATGTGGCCTCAGGAAACAACAAAGGCCACCTGCAAAGCGCTGGGCATGTGCACCAGCAGTTGGAGGATGTGTGCGCTGGGTTGTTGTGTCACGTGCATCTAGACATCCTGGGTAATCGGAGGATAATCCATGGATTTGCACATGCAGAAGGGCAGCTGGTACACTTCCCAGATCCCCTTGGGTGAATCAACCCAGTGGCTTGGCTTGCCATGACGTGTGAACCGAGTCAGTGCTTTCTCACCCAGGATGTCAGCTAGCAATAGCTTAGCTGTGGTGGTGGCCTTTACCTCCTGCATTGCATTCCCCCTTTCTCCTTTTTTGGACACTTCATCATTCATGAAGATAATGTCTTGTCGGGTCAGCACTATCAGAGCTACAGTCATGGTTTGGACACACCAGTGCGCAAGGCCTGCTAGCTGGTGTGCTCCATGTGCAGGTTGTGAGGAACTGCCGCTCCGTTTCATTGTCAGCAGCCCCCAAAACTACACCTGAAAACTCATCAAGCGTCTCCCTCTGACACAGACTTTGTACTGCTCCTTCTTGTGACTATGGTGTCTCCCTCCAGAGAACACACTTTTATTTTGTCGAGTTGTTTTGTGCTAGTAGTTCATGAATTAAAAGTTGAGCTGTAGTGTAATGGATGGAAGTGTCTGGATTTGATGGAGCAGGGCTGAGGTGCACCTTTTGGGGTGGGTGCACGGGGGGATACTTCTGGCGAGAAGGAAATGGATGTTTGCATGTATGCGGGATTTTGCTCCAGGCATCTCAAGACCAGACAGAACACAGTGCTGTCCAAGGACATATACAAGGAGGCACGTGGTTCCTACTTGTTCCCCCAGTTTTTCATGCTTACAATGGAAACCGTTTCCACCTTATGCAAGTCATAGGCTAGACTGCCAGGCAGCCTTGTATGACATGCGAGACCTTGCGTGAGAAAGTCAGCCAAGGGTCTGTATCACACGATGCAGGATGGTGGTAACGACGGACAGGCTGCCTTGCAAGGGAGCTTATCTTCTTCTACCGATAAGCTTTATTACAGGCATTCTTAAGTAATTCTTTATTACTTAAGAATGCCTGATAAGCTTCCAAGAAACGTACGGAACATCTGAAATTTCCTTACGCCAAGTCACAGCGTGGGCCCATTGAGCACAGTCTTCAATACCATGTGAGCAGAAACTTGTCATGGTCTCAGATGGGGTCTCTCCTAGACCTGCCTGAAGATGCTGTGAACTGGAGCTCTGGATCTTCGGCTGCAAAGCTACAGCCCTTCTCTGCAGGAAGCACCTCGGAACGGGTCAAGTCAGCTCCAGATGCCATGGCTGCTAGTCAGGAATCAGGGGTTGCAGTCCAACACACACAAAGGGCACCAAGACAGTGAAGGCTGTTCTACACGTGAGGCACACGCTCTGCCATGAAACCACAGCTTCTCTCCCTAAATCTCAGGGTCCCCTGCACCCCTCCCCACTGTCCTAGCAGAGACCTGTGGGCATCTCTCAGCCCCTTCTCCCGTCCTCCACAGCTGCTCCATCCCTACAGCCTTCCCCCTCACTGGGGGCAAAGCGTCCACCTAACAGTGCCGATCCCATCTGCTTCCTGCTCGCGTGCCCTCCAGCCACAGCAGCCTTTCCTGTTTGTCCAGGCCCAGGACAATGCAGACAGAGTGCCTGGCGCATTCGCGGCAGAGATCGGGCAGAACAATGAGGGTTACGCAGCAGATGGGTTAGGCAATAGTGCCTCGGGTCAGGCCACTTCCTGTCTCTTCCTCTCCCTTGGAGAAAATGCATGCACTTGCAAAGGGAAAAGGTGGCAAGCGCCTCGCAGAGGGAGCTGTGCTAGGCCGTTGCAAAGGCAGACCAAGGCGCTCCTCCTGCCCCATATGCTCGAGGTGGAGAGGCCCCTCTCTGCAGCTGTGCCCATAAGTGGCTGCCTATATGGAGACACGGGGCCCACTCACATAGGACATGGGTCCATGGCTGCCCGAGAAACAAAAACCCACCACAGCTGTCACGAACTGGCAACTGAATAGCACTGCATGGGGTGGAGAGAGGGAGGCATCCAAAGGAAAGGAATGGTGGCAAAGACGGGATAAACGGAAGACTTCAACAAGCAAACGACAGAATTTGCCTGCTGAACATGCGATGAGAGTGGCCAACTTGGATGACTTTCAAAGTGGATTAGACAAGCTCATGGAGGCTATCAGCTAGTCCTCGTGACTATACACTGCCTCCAGTAGTGAGGGCAGCCTCTCCCGCAGCACCAGACGCTGGCGAAGACAAGCAGCAGGTGCAGTTGCGGGCTTCCCCCTGGAACCCCTGCGTGCTCATGAGGGATCAGAACAGGCGGAGGCAGGTGCAGCGCAGCTCCTCCCGTGCCCCTCGGAGCAGCAGACTGGGCTCGGCCCACCTGAAGCAACATGGCAGCTTTCCATGGCCCTTCGTAACACGTGACCCTTTTAGCCCGGGATGCTAAGGGCTGAGCCAGGGGCCTGCTAATGGCAAGTGTGCCCTCTGCTGTTGCACTCCAGCCCCTCCCCATTTTCACACCGAGGGACCCTTGGCAAGTTTCCAAGAAAGCCCAGCAGTTCCGCGAACAGCATGAAAACCACTTCCTTAATACGTTAGAGCGCCACTGCCAATAAGGGTAAACAGTAACGGGCTAGGTAAGGTGGGCTGGGGGACGGTGCCCCCCTCTTAGGATTGTCTCCTAAGCTGCAGCTACCCTGAGCCTCCTGGATTAAAGCAGCAAGACGGTCCCCCACACTCCCCGATGGAAGCAGTTCTCTCCCAGGCACTGCCTGCCGGGAATCAGGCCAGGTACATGGGTATCCCATGGGGCACCTGCGCCCAAGGCCAGCTGGCTGCAAGCTCCAGCGATGGGCGCCATATGCCCCAGGCAATTTCTTGGTGCAACACAAGGCCATGTCCTCTGCCGGAGAGCTTTTCCAAATCACTACGGAATGCTGAAACCATCCAAGGAAAGTGGGCGCTTCCTCCGGGACTATGAGACTCCAGAGCAGGAGGATGTGGCCGATACCCATCTTACATCCGACAGAAAAGCAGGGACTCGCTAGATGCTGTGGGGACTCCAACTCACAAGATGACTCGCTTGCGCTCAGGTTGAGCTCCACACAACTTCTCGAGTGGCACAGGCTTCCCACCCTGGTTCCTGCACCACATTCAGACACCTTCCCCAACCTGCTGCCCCCTAGAAGCCTTGGAGTACAACTCTAGTCTTCCCCAGCTAGCATCCAGAGCAGCTGGGGATGAGAGGGGCTATAGTTCAACATCGCTGGAGGTATCAGACTGGCAAAAGCTGGCACACAGCAGGAATAGAATGCAGTGATAAAAACAATAAATGTATTATTTGTCCTAAAAACGCAACACAAATGAACAGGCTGACATACAGCAAACACAGGAAAAACTCCGCTGGTTCAGACCGAGGACCCAGGCCTAACCTTAGACTCGTGCTGCATGGGACCACAAGTCTATTTAGCCCAATATTCTGTTTGGACCATGCTCAACCAGGTGCCTCTTGGAAATTCTCCAGCCTGAGATAAGCAGAACAGTGCCCTCCTGCTCGTGCTCCCCAGCCACTGACTGATACTTCTGAACTTATATGATCTGTAGTACCAGCCTTCCTCGACTCTGTGCCTTCCAGACACGTTTTGACCACAACACCCAGAATTCCCAGTCAAGGGCCCTACTGGACAGGAATGCTGGGTGTTGCGGTCCAAATGCCCCTGCAGCCCACCAGATTGGGAAAGGCTGCTCTATGCATTTAAAAAAAAAAAGTAGCAAAGTGACCCCCAACAAAATGGGAGTTTGGCCAGCAGTACAGCAATGGCACAACTGCAGAAATGACAAGCTGAGTGGACCCAAGGAGAGAAAAAAAAGATACGCGCAAATTTATTGACTTAAAACGCTTTTGCCCGTGTCAGCTGCTGTTTGCCCGTGTCAGCTGCTGTTCCCCACAGAGGGTCCTCAGCAGGGCTGTGGGTTCTGTTCCTTCCCATCAAGACCACAAAGCCGCTATTGGCCTGCAGAGCTTGTGGGCGGGGCGCACAAGGGCACACATCTCTTCTATGTACACACGGACCTCTGAGCAGGCGCGACTAGACGGCACCTCCGCTTTCCAGCTGGCACAGCAATTCCGGCGACCTGTCCCTTCCCCAGCCGAGGGCGGGATGCTTGGGCTCACAGGTGAGCAGCCAACGCTGCTGTGTTCGCCGGGTTACCTCAGGCCCAGCTTCTTCTTCTCCTTCTGTTTCTTGCGCACAATATCGATGTTGCGGTCCTTCCACATGCTTTTGCGCAGCTTGATGGGCCTGCTGCCAACGTACTTTCCTGTCAGGGAAGGGGTGGGGGAGAGGGAGAATCCATGGGTTCGTCTTGGCGAAGCGGCTCACCTTGAGAGGCAAGGCTGCTTCCCGAGGTATCAGTACATTTCTATAAAGCACATAGCTGGAGCTCTTTTGGCAGTTCACATTTTAAAGCACCCATCCAGACTGCAACCAGGCCCAACCGTCCTTAGCTTCCAAGATTAGGCAAGATCAGGCACTTCAGGCTACATGGAGTTGTTCTGCCAGAGAACTCTCCCATTCTGCAACCAAAGGGAAGCAACTCACAAATAAATTCAAATGCTAAGGCTTTTTTCCTCTGGGGAGGCGGCCAAGGGGACAAGTGTAACGTGGGAACTGAGCAGTCACATGGCAGCAATTCCCCAAAATGCAGCAGCTGCAAATTCGCCCATAGAAGAATTTTCCTTGGCGTTTCCGCTGGCAGCATAGCCCAGGATCAGGGCTGCTAACCTTGTTTGGGTTTTCAGCTAACCGTTGCCCATTGAATGTGGGGGATACATGGGCTGCCTCCAAGCTGGCAAGTGGGAAACTGGGCATTTCCCAGGGTGCTCCGCTTTGCAAAGCCTCCAGCTGCTTCACCACCACCTGCAGCTGCTTGATCCAGAGCCAGCCTACTGGCCTGCACCCCGGTATTGCCTGTTCCAGCCTCCCTGTGTCGGAGCACAAGTCCTGACCATCTGCAGGCAGCACAGCCGTCGGAGCTGCGGTCCAGCAGCTGGAAGGTGCCAGGCTAAGGAAGACCAGCCTACTTGTGACTGGCAGCCAGTCTCCAGAGCCACAGCAGAGGTCCCTCTCATCACCTGCCACTTGACCCCTTCCTGACAGGAATTGAACCCGGGCACTTTAATATGTTGTCTAGTATCTTCTCCGCGCTATGCTTATCCGAGTAAGACACAGCAACAGTCCTTCCCCTGCTAGGGTCAGAAAAGATTTCCTCACTACATCAGATGGGGAGCTCCATGCCCTGGGTGCAGCTCCTGGCCTTACTCCAGAGAACAGATAATTTGACACCCTTGGAATTCCGGCCTCAGGATGAGCCTCACCATTCATCTCCCGCATGGCACGGACGTAGTCGTTGGGGTCCTTGAAGCTGACAAAGCCATAGCCCTTTGTCTTGCCAGTGCGCTTGTCCCGGATCACCTTGGCCTTCAGGAAGGATGGGTAGCGGCTGAAGGCACGAGCCAGGATGTCATCATTCACTTCATTGCCCAAGTCACCGCAGAAGATCCGGAAGTCATCTGGCGGAAGGGAAATAAGCATGTAAGACGTGACAGCAGACCATCTGGACTCTTCTGAATTCCTGGGAGGAACACTAAGTGTCTAGCCCTCATGTTGGCAAACGATCTTCCAAGAGCGTGAGAAGAAAAAAGGCTGAGCAGAAGCTCCTTCTCCTCAAGCATTTGCCCGGTTCAGGTTCAAAATGCCAGCACAGGGCTGTGGTGTCCTTTAAAATGATGGCTCGCTCATACCTGGCTTTGAAAATATCTGCTTAGATATTAGATATCTACCACTTAAACTATATGGCAGTCAAACAAAGTAGGCTCCGCCAACCCTCAGAAAGTGTTTGGTTGCTTGGTTGCTCTACACGTCAAAAATTTCACAAAAAGAAGAGAAAGATCACTGCATTGTAAAAGGGGTTCTCCAAGCGTCTCCTGTATGCAAAAGACAGTGTGGGGAGTCAGGCAAAAGGCACGTACAAGACTTTGCCACTTTGCCTATTCATGTAAGATTAAGCCTGGTTCCAAACAACTTTAATTCCTTCCCTAGGCTAGAGCCTCCCTCTTCTGTTCTTTTCCCCACACTTAGAGGTGAGAGGGCTGTGCTACATTTTTAAACAGTTTTGTGGGATGCACTTTGGGCCAGAACAAATTAACAAGGTATCCCCAGAAAATCATACGGGCATAGGAAGTGCTTCGGTGCAAAGATTCTGAAAAATTAAGAGAATCTGAGCAGTCTTTTGACATTCTAGGTAGCCAAGTTGATGATCTTTAGAATGAGGCACCTTTCCGCTTAAGATTCCATTTTGGAATAAGCTGCAGAGCTTCCCTCTTAGGAAGGAGCTCAGAAGGAGAGAAGTCATGGCCAGCAGCACATTTAGGGAAGGTGAACTGGAAGAATTAGCACGTGCATGGCCATTCAAAGCGAAGGCTGAAATAAACATGCCTTTGCTATCAACCACACCTGCTAACCAAGACCGGTCCTTGCAGGAATCAGCTCAGCCTCAATTCCAACCTGTGTCTTCCACTCTGTGCATTCGTCCCCAGCCCCTGGCCCAGTGGGGTGCTCACCAGCATCCCATTCAAGCAAGCTGGGGTCTTCCCAGCATGTCCCAGCAGCAGTGCGAATGCAGCGCTTCAACTTCTCCTGTTTTGTTTTCTTCTTGTCCTCAGATGTGCTTTCCACAGCAGGCTGGGCCAGAGAAAGGGAAGTGCTGATTAGGTAACATGCCACCAGCAAGAGCACATTCAGAGTTGAAATCCTGCCCTGAGCCTGTCGTATCCCGAGCGGGTCCCGACAATCATCTCATGAGACTCTCTTCCCAACACCATCATTGTCCAGCACATCTCCACCCGTTCATCAGAGCATGCGTCCTGCATGCATAAGAGTCCAGCTGCAGCCCTGGCAGCTTTAAATGCCTGTTTTAGCCCTCCACTTTAGAGCAGCTTTTCCCCAGTCCAAGGGAGGCTCTGTTGGTGACAACAAAGAGGAAAGCATTCTCAGTGGTGGCCCCTCAACTATGGAATAAGCTTCCCACTAAGGCCCACCTGCCACCAACTCACCCACCTTTTTGGTGCCAAGTTACGCCTGAACTCTATGGCAAGGCCTTTAACAGCTCTAAAGAGCATCCTGGAGTCTTATGCTAGTTGCTTAACAGGTCTTGCATTAGCTGTTAACTTGCATTAGCTGTTGTACATACTTAAATCTGATTTTTGAATTCAGCTTTTAAAATGTACACTGAAATGCAATCATGTTTTATTGTTACCTGTATTTCATCCTGTATTTTATGTAAACCCCCTGAAAGCTTTGGCTATTGGGCAGCAGAGAAATACCATTAATAAAAGATTATATGATTTTTTACTTGACAGGAAAATGGAAGGGGAACAGGTTAAGGAAACTATGATAACATGGGCACAAAACTTTGGATATAATGTTGAACTAGAAAAGTGGCAAAAACTATGGGAGAGAAATATTGAGGTAACATTAGCAATCTCGTATAAAGAAAATTTATATAAAATGTTCTATAGATGGTATTTGTCACCAAGTGGATTAGCTAAGATGTTTCCAAATATATGTTGGAAATGTAAACATAAAGTGGGTACTTTTTATCATATGTGGTGGACCTGTGATAATGTGAAAAAGTATTGGATTAAAATACATAAATGGCTGGAGGAAATACTACAAAAACCCTTTGCTTTTATACCTGAAGTTTTCTTGTTAGGCATCATATCGGAAGATATTAACAGACAGGAAATGTATTTGATGTTACACTTAATCACAGCGGCGAGGGGTGCATTTGCTCAGTGTTGGAAAAGTGAGGAGCTACCCACCGATGAATTGATTTTAAGAAAGATTCTGGACTGCACAGAAATGGATAGACTGACTTTATCATTGAAGAAGAAAGAAGACACTGACTTCTATCAAACTTGGGTTTTTTCTATAATTGGCTGGAGAAACGGAACTTGGCGTAAATTTAGAGATGTTTTCAAGTTATTATAAACTGATTTAAATATGACTACAGAACATTAAAAAATATGTAGTAGGAAGTTGACCCAGTAAGACCGATGTATGTAATGATTGATGTTTTTTAGTAATAGTTTCAAAATTTTAATAAAATTTCTTAAAAAAAAAGAAATACCATTAATAAGAATAGTGCAATGCCCTTCAGCTCCAGGCAGTGTGGCTATGCTGCCTGGGGACAACAGGGGTGGTACTCCAGCCCATCTGAGGCTGGGAAAGGCTGCTTCAGGGCTCCCTGGCCCTGGCCTGCCTGCACAGCCTCACTGTTCCTTCTTTTCCCTCCCGGCCATGTTTAGCTACCACCAGAAGCAGAACAGATCCCCCCCACCCCTCGTGGGAATGGAGGACTGCTCATTACCTCAACAGGCACAAACCCAGCATCGCCCCCTCGAGGGCGCTTCCCTCGCCCAGGTGCCAAGTCGTGCCCACGGAGGGAGGCCAGGCCCCTTGGATCCACCAGCGGGGTCGGCTCGGCCTCTGGCATACTGGGGCCAATCACCGGCTCCTCCGGCCCGGCGGGCTCCTTTTCCTCCACCACAGGCGGGGGAGGCTCTCGGTGCTCCTCCTGCAGAAAGAGAGAAAGCGACGGCGACGCCTCAGGGTGGGCGTGTTTCAGCTGCCCCCCCCCCCCCCAGAGGCCACCTGGGCATGGGAATCTCAGAGGCGCACTGCGGTGCCCGCTGGTGGTGAGCCTTTGCTCAAGGGGAGACCGGCGTGAAGGGCATTTTCAAGGCCTGTCGCTGGCAGAGCCTTCGGCGCGCACACTCACCTCTTGCTTCTTCATAGGTGGGGCAGAATACACAGTCGGAGCTGCCTGGATGACTGTGGGGTTCACCTTTGGAGGGGCCACCACAGGCCGAGGAACCGGCACCAGCGGTGCCAAAGGGCCAACGGGAATCCCTGGCCCAACCTGGGCAGGAAGCAAGGCAGAAAACAGCATGGATCTTGTAAGCTCAACATTATTTCTGCACCAAGCCAGAAAAATACCAACCGAAGGGGTATCGACCAGTCTTTCCCTCCTGCAAACCCTTCAGGGTTGAGGATAATGATACACGGGGAGCTGGAGCATTTGGCTGTACAGTTGGAGGTGGGATGAATCACTTGAGTAGCTCCTTTGGAGTCTAGTTAAGACACTGCAGGCCATTAAATACTGATTTTGTGGAGAGCCGAGAGGCAGCCGCCACTGGGGAGGTGTAACTAGCAGCAACGGCACACTTCTCACCCATGTACAGACCACACCTGGGTGGCACAAATATTGAAAAGGGAAAGGTTGTAACTGAAGGAGCAGCGCACCATGAATGTTCTCCGGCGTGTGAGGAAGGGCACTAATGCAGTGGGCAACTTGTGACCCTTGGCTGCAAGGTGGGAGCACCCCAGAATGGGAGGGACGGGCAAGGGAGCAGGAGCGTGAGGAAGGAGATGTGGCCAAGGAGCCTCCCGCAAGTTCAGACCCTGGGTAAGGTGGGAGTTCAAAACGAAGAAGCATGAGGAGAAAGAAGTCCCTTGAGACCGCTGGCAAGAGAGATCGGTCCTTCCTGCAGGAGCCTGGTGGGTGATGAGGACCAGGGGTGAAAGTGTGGGGATGGGGAGGGAGTGCTGGGAATGTCGCCTTGGCAGAGGAAAGGGGCTGCATGGGCATGTTTTAAGTGGATGACGCTGCCGAACCAGGATGCTTAATGCTTCCCCTGGAAGATCAGTGTAACTGCCAACATAAGCCCATCTCAGCAGAGAAATGCCAGGGCTTGTGGTGGAGCACTCGTCCCTGGAAATGCACTCGTTTCCTGGCACGAGCACAGCAACAAGCATGTCAGATTTCTGGGTGAGACTCCCCACCATTGCTCTCCAACAGCCCGTGAGTCCCCTTGCATTGGTCTGCGCTGGCAAATTCAACCCCAGTCTGCTCTAAGCTTACTCTAAGCTGGCAGTAAGCACCTTCAGTGCACAACAAAGGCCTAGCCAGGTGGTTCCAACCAGCCCCCTAACAAAGAAGAGCAAAGCACACTCACAGGAGGGCCAGATCTCATAGGCCCCATGCCACCTAAGGGGGGGCCAGGGGCTCTCTGCATCGGTGGTCCCATAAGCATTGGTGGGCCCTGTGGACCGGGCATGGGAGGGCCAACCATGGGCTGGTGATGGGGAGGGCGCATTGACAGGGGCCGAGGACCACCTGGAACAAAGGAAAACAATCACAGTTAGCACTCAGCATTACCCAGCAATCAGAACATGGTATTACTCTGGAATGATTCCCCATTGAGGATGGAACAGCTGCTCCCTTCCATACTCTTCCTGGGACTGAAAGTCCCCTTTATTCCAGGTGGTCTCTGGAGACCAGCATGTTGGAAGGCTGCCTTGAACTTTATTTTCAGGGCTACAAAAAGCTGCTGCTGGTGGCTTTGTTTCGTTTTATTCCATTTGTAAACCACCTGAGCGTTGGAAAACAATGCTTTTTTATAAGCATTTTACAAACCATCTTTTTTACCCCACTCCCCAAAAAAACCAAACACAAACACAACCCTGTTCAGCAAAAACAAGACAAGCACACAAGTTCCCTTACGGTCAGCAGCGCAAATACTGCAAGTCAAAGGAAGCTTACTCAACCAGGTCCATTCAGATATTTGTGGACAAAAGCTCCCATCTGCCCCAGCCAGCATGGCTAGGATTAATGGGAGTTGTACACCAAACTTTTAGAAGCCCCCTGCGTCTGAGTAAGTATAATGCAAGTAAAAATAAAGCTACAGAGGCGCATGCTGGGGAAAAAGAAGTAAACATACGTGCAGCTGCTTACACTGAAGTTAGAGAAATGACCAACAGCTCTCCAAGTCTCCAACAGAGGCCGACGCACTTCCAATGGCATCGGGGCTGAACTTGGGCCCTTCTTCATGCAAAGCATGTGCTCTCTCCATTGGTGTAACATAGGAGGCCGCTTTACCCCAAATTGGACCCTCAGCCCATCCAGTCCAGTACTGCTGTCACTGACCAGCAGCAGCCCTCCAGTGTTTCAGCAGGATTCTTTCCTAGCTATCTGGCGACGCCAAGAATCAAACCGAGAACCTTCTGCATGCAAAGCGGGAGCCCCACCATGAGGTGCGGTTCCTTCCCAGAGTCATGCCTCCACGCCTATCACTGGCTGCCTCCAGACCATCCTACCCTCCTGAGTGGAATCCAGAGACAGCGGCCACACCAGGCCTCTCCCCTGTAGCAACCTAGAAGCAAACAATCAAAAAGAGGTCTTACCAGATCTCTGCAGGACATGAGGCACAAACGTTGGTCGGAGGATGGGAGGCCGTTGTGGGGGAACAGCTGGGAGAGAAAGAGACTGGGTTTAAAAGCTCGCTGCAATGTTCTGCACTGCCACCACATGCAAAGCGGCCTTGTAAAGAAACCCTACGTTACTAACCTCCCCTACTAGTCTGTAGGCAGAAAATAACCAGACAACTCCATTGCTCCTGCAGCAACCAGCTGTATTTCTATACCATACCAAGGCAGGGGCTTACCTCTACTGGACTTCTATACTAAGCACAAGAAAAGGAAGTGTGCCATCCCTAAATCCTGTGGTAGCAAAATCCACCATTTATTTTATATTATACATTTTTACTATGCAATGTACAAAGCACTTCCCTTTGAATCAACTTCAAGGAGCAGAAAAAGTGCGCCTTTGAAATGCAGAGCCTGTTCTGTGATTCCTTCTATGGAAGAGTATGAGCCCTTTTATATTGCATACATTGCTTCCAGGATTAATTCCTGATGCTGGTTTTTATCTGGAGCCCTAAATAATTCCAGACAAGGGTACCTAGAAGGATCATCTCCCCGCCATGATCCTCTCCCAACCATCAGAAGAGGGCCCTTTTGCATGTTCTGGCTCCATGTGAGGAGAGGTTGGTGGGAATGCACAGAAACAACCATCTTCGTTATTGCAGGGCCACTGGGATTTGGAACTCTGTCTCACCACCACCTCCACTGCTGTTGTGAAGCTAGCTGAAAAGTGCCTGCATTCTCACGAGCCTGCAGCCTGTCAAGTTCTTGAACAGTAGTATTTCTAGCCTTTTCTGTTTAGCTGCCCCCTTCTGCAGCTTGCTTCTGCATTTCCTTTAATGGATCATTTTTATTTTATGGGCAGAACATGTTTTACAATCAATGCGGTGAGGGTAGAATTCAGGTACAATCAACTCAATTAAACACAGCAGAGACTGGGAACATGCAGCCCCCCAGATACTGTCAGAGCAACCCCCTTTAGCCCAGGCAGCATGGCCAGTGGTCAGGGACTATGGAAGTCAAAGTCCAACATCCAGAGGATTGCAAGTTCCCCCACTATGAAATACCGGTTCCACAGATTTTATTACGCTCTGTGATAATTTCCACTTCAATCACCAAAGCTGTGCACATATATGTCCAATGAGTTGCCTTCTATAGAGATTGGTGGACTGTTTGCCCTTCTTATCTTCAAACACATCTGTGACGTTATCAGGCATGGGTGAAAGAAAAACATGAAAATGCTGCTTGGCCAGGTACTCTCGAAGCCTGGCTATATAAGCACAGGGTCAAAGAGGCGAGGGACATACCTGGGCCCACAAAGGGCACTGGAGGAGCCACGATGGGGGCCACCACAGTTGCCGCTGCTGCTGCTCGGGCTTCCAGACTCTGCTGGACCTGGAGAGAGAGAAGCAAAATCCAACAAGAATGCTTATTGGACAAGTGAGATAACAGTCAGATGCAGACAATGACCTGATGAACAGGACAAAAGCCTTACAATCCGCAGCACATTGCAGGCAGCAGCATCTGCCTAACTTTAGTTCTAAACTTTATTTCTAAACATATTTATCCTCCCCACACATGTGCTATAAGAAAAAAAGCTGAACTGGATCAGATCCAAGGCTTATATAGTCCAGCATCCCAGGGTCTGCTTTTGTTCATGAGTAACAGGTATTCAGTGGCAGGACTGTTCCTAACCCTGGAGGTAGCATAGAGCTGCCATAACTAGCAGCCATTAATTGGCTTACCTTGCATCATTCATCTAATTTCCTTTCAACAGAGCCTACTGTGGAGACAAAGATTGCAAAACCGTGACTTCTGGGAGATGGAGAAATTCACTGACTTTTTGGTCAGGTACAACCATACAACAAATTATAAATTCAAACATAATATGAAGAGATTTACCACTGGTAAAAGGCTCCCTCAAAGCTTTCACTGAAAACTCAAAGCAGTTCAGGAAGCTTGGTATATTGAAAATAAAACTCCGAGGCTTCTTACCTGTTGGTAGGTGTTGGTGGCAATTATAGGTCGGATTACGGGGACCGGGGGCACTGCAGACACTGCTGGCACTGCCAGAGCAACTGGAACTCCTTCTACTACAGGAGCAACTGTAGGTAACGAGACTGGTGCGCCCAGAACCTCTTGCTCAAACCTGCAAGAAATCATACTTTGCATCTGTCTGAAGCTTTTGAACATGGGAATGCTTCATGTACAGCCTGAATACTCATCTCAGTGACCACCATTATAAAATACATCAATAATGCATTTGTACATGTTTTAATAATGCATTGATTTAATATTATTGCATCCATTTCTGGGAAAAAGGGAGGTTTATAAATCCTTAAAATAAATTGCTTGCATTATAATTATTTATCATTTTATTTGATTCTTCTCTGAGGTCGGCTGAGAACCAAGCTTCGATTTCTGCTCAGTACTGAAGATTACTGAGTGACCTGAGGGCAAGCAGCTATCTCTGATTTTAGCCTACTTCATAAGGTTGTTGTGAGGATTAAATTGTAGGTGGAGGAGGTGCCTATCATTTTGACTTTCACAGAAGAAAAGCAGAATATAAATTTAATAAATATGAAGGAGTCCTAAACTGCTGGTGGCCACTACAGCAATCTGCAAGTACGATGGCTGGATAAACACAGGCAAACAGAATAAATATCATCACCTTCTCTACTGCAGAGGATGGTTTACCAAGTTAGGGTAGGCAACCTTATCATCTCCAAATGATTTGGACAACCTTCACAAATCCCACCTAGCATAACAAAAAGTCGATATTCACAGTCCACCAGCTACACATCTCCTAAAGGCACAATCCTACGCACGTTCTGCTAGTAAAAAAAAGTTCTCCAATTCCTTACAAACCCTCAACATCCATAGGATCGCATCTTAAGGAAGGACGGAGCTGCAGTTAGAACCGGGGAGGTGCCAGCCCACAACAATTCCTTACAAACCCTCAACATCCATAGGATCGCATCTTAAGGAAGGACGGAGCTGCAGTTAGAACCGGGGAGGTGCCAGCCCACAAATGACTCTCAGGACCTGTCAGAGCGGGTCGGACCAAGGCAATCAAGAGCCGGGGGGGGGGGGGTTAGAGAGGGAGAAGAAATCAGGGCAGGCTGCACTGCCCGGAGCGCCGCCCCCCCCCAGAACGGCCCCAGGCCCCCTGCTCCGAGCCCCGCTGCACCCCCGCCCGAGCCCGCGCCGCCTCCCTCGCTTACTCACAGCGCCATCTCGGCTTCCATCTCCTTCAGCCTCTCCTCCCCGCTTTTCGCGCCCCCCCCTGCAGCCACGGGGCCCTGTCCGGAGCCCCCGCCCGGGACCCCCGGAGGGCCCCCCGGCGGCGCGGGAATCGCAGGAGCCGCCATGGCTCAGCCTCTTCGAGGGGCAGCAACCGCTCCAGCACTCGCAGCCCAGGACCAGCTTCCGGCGCACACGTATCACAACACCGGCACTTCCGGCGCACAGCTCACTTCCGCCAAAGTTTACGTATAGAGAGAGAGGAAAAGCTGCAGCGTTAACTTCCGGGAGCCGAGAAGGGCTACGCGTCTTTGTGGGCGCGGCGGAGCCCGTCGGCGCGCCATGCCTTCTCCTCTCTCTGGCGCGCTCTTCCCCAGCCTGGTGCTCTTAGATGCGCTCGGCCGTCACGCTCAGCAAATCTGGGGACACCGAGCTGGCAAGGGGTGCGTGATGTCGCGAGCGTGCGGCTCGCGGCCTTCCAGATGCCTTGGCCCAGGGCGCCCACCAGCCCCAGGCCAACTTAGCCAATGCTGAGGGATTAGAGGAACCGCAGGAGAAAACATCTGGAAGCCCGCAAGTGCGCGCCCCGCTCTGGCTTGAGAAGACGAGTGGGGCGAGGTCCTGCTTGAACCGGCCGTGGCGTGATGCACTGAGATTTCGCGACTCTAATTTCTGCCCCTGTGGATACATCGCATTCCTTCTGTCAGGGAACTTTAAAGGAAGGGGCGGAGTCTGCGCGCGCACAGGTGATCTCAGGTGAAGGGGCGGAGCCTGGGCAGTGCGGAGGCACAGGAGCGGTTCTCGGCACGGCGTTGGCTGCAGCCCTCGTTGCTCCCTTTGGAGTGCATCTACTGACTTCTGAGCAGGCCCGCCTAGGAAGTCGCTAAGCACAGTTGGGAATTGCAGCATGAGAAAATGCCAAATAGACATACCTTGCGTTCATCTGTAGGATTTTAAAATTGCGTTTCTTCCTTTTCTATTAGTACAGCCCTTGCAGCCATTAACGTAATTAAACAATCCCCTGCGTTCAAGAACTGGAGAAATGCTTGTAGTGTACGTTATGATCGCTGCAGCCTTAGCCTCTTTATAGTTTTCCCATTCGGTAGGATATATTTCCAGGATTACTGTTACCATTATGAGCCAGTGCCCTGAAACCTCTGCACATCCGTGACGTTCTGATTGCATTGCCATTGTTCATTCATGTATGTTTATTGGAACAAGTGTATTGCTTCTCTGATTAAACTGATTCCCCTTCCCCCATAATTAATCCACAAAGCTACTTGCAATTTTTGCTCACAAGGAAAGAAGCAGCAAGACTCTCACAGTATGTTTTCTGTACTTCTGCATGATTCTCAAACTGTGAGAAATTAAATTTCAGGGAAAGATAAGATGTAGAGGCAAGTGGGCCTTTCTTCTGTGTCAAGTAACACCTGGACAGGATGGATGCTCTTTAGGAAAGTGGTTCATCTTGGACTTATGGACTCACTTTATTTGAGAAAGAGGACACTCGGGGAGAGGCCTCTGCTTTCCTCTATTTATACTTCCACTATATGAATCTAGAGAAGAATCAGGTTACTGACAGTAGCTCCATTATGTGAAACAGCAACAGGTATAATATCTGGCCAAAATGATAGTTTATTCTGTATCATACCCAAGATGTTAAAAAACTGGAATATGTTCATGAATCAGGACAATGTTGGCTTTTGCTGCTTCCAATGCTAAGGCCAAGTTAGTATTTTGCCATTATGCAATTACTTGTTGGTATTTTTTGTACAATTTACACTGTCAGTTTGTGAATCAACTGTTTATACCAATAAAGCCACCCCAGGGTAAAAGGACCCTTCTGTAAGATGTGATGCAGTCATTATCTAGATCCCCAGTAAGAGGGAATTCATGGGCTCAGTCATCTGCTCAGGGAATCCTATAATAGCATATCTAAAGCAGATGTCGGGAGTGTTCCTTCTCTTCCAAAAGCAGCGAGAACTGGCCAGTGGCAACAGAGAGCTGACCCTGATGTGGTTGCCTTTATTAGCAACCTAATAAGCAGCAAAGAAGTTCCTCATACCAAGGTATCCCCAGGCTGCATATTCAGTGGAAATGAAGGCTTACATCTTGCTGAGAGAATTGTTCAGCACCATATTAACATCACCGCTATTTCAGAGCCACAGTGCCTCTCACAGCTGATTAGTTGTTCCCACCATGACAGAGATCATAATTGATTTCATATGTCTTTAATTAGAATTTACAGCATCCGAGACTTTACACTGTCACATGATGTTGGACATTCAAGTGGACGAGACCCAGGAGGAGAGAGACTTCAGAGAATCCTTCAGAGTCACGGCATAGAAGGGACTCAACAGCACAACAACGTCCTGAGAACTTGACAGATGCAAGGCAATCAGATCTTGCCAGGGAAGGTCCCCTCTTCTCTTTGTTCATCCCAGTTAGTGACCTGCAAAAGCCCAACAGGATTCTTTGATCATCGGTCCTATCTCAACAGTAAAGTGTGTACAGCAGCAGTTCTTTCACATACAGATGTTTGCAATTTCCATTAAAAAAACACAAGACCGCTAAACCTACCTGCCTATAAGAGCAATTTTATTTTACATAGCCACTGATCTCAAGATGACACTTTTGTCCTCCACCCCTCCCTTCTTAAGAAATTTCTAGAACTCCTTTTCATCCCTGAAACAGTTTCCAGACTAAGACGCAGGGCTAATACAGTAGGTTCCGACTCTTTGGTTGCTTCTCACTTATGAATACCTCTCCCTACCCCAAATAACTCAGATTATGAAAAATATCAGGCCCACAAAACCCCAGGAAAACAGCAAGGTGATGCAAAAATAGTAGAACTGCATCTTTTCCAACATTTTGATCACTTTCGCTGCTGTGGCTATTAAGACACTGCAGGATTCTTTTTTTTTTTTTTTTAGTATAAAATCAGAAATAGTAGCAGAAAGTGCAGCTCTGTATCACTAAAACCATGTCCTTCGGAATGTCTTAAGACCTGCACAGGCCCCTCAAGAAAGAACATCTAAATTACTGTTACTTCTGTCTATAAATGTGCAAGAGAACTTATACAATTTGAGAGGGGCTGTTCTGCGTTCTGTACTTTCCTCCAATAATGCTTCATGATAGAAACACTTGGTCTTGGTGTTCTGTATGATACTAAACATGCATCATAGAGGACACGATGCATGAAAAAACCTTACACTGTAGGTAGTATATATTGTTGTTCTGTTATGTCTTCGTTGTGTTTTAATTGTTGTAAGCTGCTCCAAGAAAGGGAAGGACAAGCTGATCTCACAAATGAATACAATTAGTCTGAGCAGAATTTTCCTGGCACACACACAAGCAACCATTTACTGCATCTCTGCAGATGGAGAAAAGATTGGACTAGGTGGAAAGAACCAAACTAGGTGAAAATAAGTGTTGGTCACTAGCACCTCCCTTCCAGCCAAATACAGCAGATAGCAAATGCGCACTGAACCATGAAACCATCAAGCGATGCCCCCTGTTCCTTAGAACCATCTCTCATGTAAACATTCCTCAACTAAGTTTAGTTCAATTCACCTACCCAGGAAATTGGGCAAAGGGATTGGTACACCCGTTTGTACCACTGGCAGACATAAGGATCTCCTCCTTTGGCTGCCATGGCTTTCTCACAGCGGTGGAAATCTGCAAAGACAGAAATGTTCTTTCAATGGTCCTACGTAATCCCAAGCAGTATGTGAGACCAACACTTAGCCTGTGCATAAGACACGAGGCAGCATTGGATATTTTAGCAACTGAAAAACAGCAGGCCCATGTCAAGTTCCCCAAGCTTATCCCATCACATACAGTAATGTAACTGCAGCATCTTGTCGTTTATTTTCCCTGCTTTGCACCATTGCCTGCCTTTGGAGAAGGGGTTAGGGACACTCAGTACCACTCTACATATGTTTCCAATACGGGGTAGCAAAGACCTGGGAAAACAAGCGGAGGGCTATCATTTTCAGGATAAATCTGGTGTCCTCGGTACCACTGGGTTTCTACTCACAGTGAAGAATAATTTGTTTTTGCCAGGGCAGCACGAGAAACCATCCTGATGCAAGTATCTGAAATATTTTACTAACCAAGATAGTTCTGCCAGCAATTCCTTGTTTGATTTTGATTGGGGAACCTGCTGTCAAATGGAGCGGTTTTGTAGTTTTCCAGCTTGGTCCGGATGTCTTCAGCCATGTTTCCTTCCCTGAAAGCATATAAGAAACCAGCAATATGAAAACATCCATTAACCATCAGACGCCATACTTGCTCACTAAGAGATCATATTCCAGCAGTATTTATATCCTCAAGCTGCATTCCAACAATGGGATGGCTGCAGTCGGATGACATAAGGCAAAGCACTGTTTACAAACAATCATACTTGACCCCTCCTGCCAATCCAGGCAAAGAAATCCATTAGCAAAAGTGATCTGCAACATTTTTTCTTTCTTTATTTAGGCTTTTATATCCTGTTCTTTAGCCCAGGGCACTCAGAACAGCTCAGAACATTAAAACCCTCACCTGAAAACACAACTAGGAAATCAGAAACCATATGTACTTAGACCATTAGTACTTCATAGGATCTAGTCCACGCGAGAAGTATTGTCCTCTCCCAGTATGGGAGCTACCCCCCTTCTGGATTCTTTAGACATCTCATAAAGTACGACACCTCTCCAAGCAAAAATTAAGGTTAGGTCTAGACTGTGAGGTCCTAGTCTAGATCAGCAGAGTCTACTCTGTACCATTCATTAAACTCTCACTAGTCCTTTACTGGAGACAAGCAGCAGTTTTGATAAAAGAGCAGCTTCTATTCTCACTGCTCCTAATATCCAAGAGTTCTGACCTATCAGAATGGCAGAATCTTCCAGGTTACTTTCTTTGTGCGTCAACTATCTTCTCCTGCTCCAGCACCTGTTGTCTTAACAGCTCCAACCATCACATGGGATTAGCAACAGGCCACAGAAGAACGGGGTTCAATTCTGCAGCCTCCTTGTCCTGCCATCTCTGAAGCGCAACACAGAGAGAAGGAAGGAGGAGCTTCCCCACCACCATTCCCAATTCCTGGTCACAGGAACTCAGTAACTTCACACACAGCAAGAGCAAGCACTCCTAGAAATAGGATTCGATCCCATCGTGTTGCTACCACTTGCAGACACACACTTCCTTGGGCAGGTGCTGGTGTTCTTAGCGTTGCTCAGCAAATACTTTAACATATCTACATGTCATCTTCCCGCCTGATAATAGGTATGAAAGGTTTGGTTTCAAATCCTAGGTCTGCTATGGGTATGCTAGCAGTCCTGAGCAAATCGTACTTAAGAACAATCCCCCCCACTGCAGAAAAAAGAGTAGATAGTGATGTGCCATGTAGGCTTGCATAAACTCCTCACAGCAAGAAACTGGAGGGGCATGGTTAATCTGATGACTGGTGCTAACTGATGAACAACTTTTCCCAGTTCCTGGATGATGCAAGTGACCAGACTGCATGATAAGCTTTCATAATGATAATGTTTGGGGCTAGAAGGATGGGAAGCACTTTACGAGGGAGAGTGTGACTCCAAAGGGCTCTCATTTTGCTGTTCAAGAAACCAGGTTAACTCAATCAAAACCTCTGCTCCCACCCATGACTCACAGGAGGTTGCAGCTACATGGGTGTCATCTCAAGGGTATCCAAAGATCCACTCCCTAACTTCAGACACTACAATGCAAATAACAGTTATTCAGTGATGGGATGAGCAGGAGCAACAGAGCTCCTGTACCGCTGACAATTTTCTCTACATGAGACTTCCAGAAAGCACTGCCCCTCAGATCCTGCAACACATTTGAGAAATGCTGCTCCTACCAAAATTCCCCATTGCTGTTACAAAAGGGGCACAGCAGGCCTGGCCTCCATTTCACCTGGTCATCTTGCCTGGAGGGTGCTACTGCACTCGTGCCTTACTTGCTTGGACACCGTACGAACGCAATGCTGGGCGCCATGGACCCCGGGACTGATCCAACAGGGCACTCTTTCCATTGTTAGGCGGTTCAAGCAGGAGCAAAAAGCAGCCTTCAGGGTTGCACAGAACCTGCCGCCGCCTCCACTCCAACTCCCACCAGCCCCAGCCAGCGTGGCCAAAGGTCAGGGATGATGGGCGCTAGTCCAACAACAACCGCAGGTGGGCAGGCTCTCCCCATTATGGGGCACAAGCGAGTTTCGAACCCGAGACTCCCCGGTCCGCAGCTCGGCCTCTGACCCGCCCGGGGGCTGGAGAGCATCGCGGAAGGGCAGGAGGCTCGGCGCCCGCCCAAGGGAAGCAGGCGCCGGGCGGAAGCAGCCGGGCTCGGCCGCTGCCGAAGGCGGACGCGGGGCCGGGGAGGCCAGGCGGGCCGGGGCGCGGCTGCGCGAGCTCCTCGTCCCCTCGTGGCCCCGGAGGGCTCGCGGCCGCCTCCCCGCTCCTCACCGCAGCGGCAGCGACGACGGCCAAGGATCCTCCTCCAAGTGACTTTCACCCGCACACTGGCCACCCAGGAGCCGGAACCAACGACAACGGCGACGCGCGGCAGGGCAGAGCAGCGCCGGAAGGGGCGGGCCCAAGGCGTGAGCGACGGGGGCGCTGCTCTCGCGCAACCGGTTCGCTCGCTGCTCTCGTGCCGCCCGAAAGCCGAAGTTCTCCGGGCGGCTCCCAGCAGTGAAACCCGCGAAAGACCAGAACGGGATGCCTGCAACACTGAAAAGTTTAAAACCAGCAGCAGGGCAGAGATCTCACAGTGCACAAAAGGTGCAACGCGTGGGAGTTTAGCCAGGGAACAAGCCTGGAATAAAAGGCCTACAACTCCCGGCATAACCCAGCTAAACTTCCTGGCTGGGGCATGCTGGGAGTTGTAGGCCCTTTCTCTCTGGCTGAACTCGTATAGGGTTGCATCCTAACCGATTTAAATCAATAAAATGCCACCGAAAATAAATAGAAAACGTCTTCACTGGGTGCCCAAAAGACCACATTGTTGGTTCCAGGTGGGATTCTCTGGGGGGGAGGCGTTAACCCACAGCTGGGCGCCAGGCTTGGAGGTCACGCGAGGTCCTGGACAGCTCTCCCGACAAACGATCCCAGCCTGCCCCGTGCCCTCCCGGACTCCTCTGGCCAATTGCCAAGTAAGCTTGGCATAATCCCATGCACACTTACCTGGGAGTAAGCCCCATCGAAAGCAATGAGACGTACCTCGGAGCCGATGCGTGCAGAACAGCTTGTTTACTTACAGAAACGTCCCAGGCACCTCCGGCTTCAGAGTCCTGTCAGGCGTTGTGGACAGTTCTCATCGATATTCCGATGGCCCGAGTAGATGTAGGACAGCTTTATATGATATTTCCACCGTCTCTTCAGCCAACCCTAAGAAGGCAAAGTTATCACACTGGTCGGTTTCACTGGTGTTCTCAAAGCTAGCAAACAAATCTTCAGTTTCTGTACTGTACTGTACTGTTCAGCTTTAACCTTTGGGCACCCCCCCCCCCACTGAGCCGTGCCTGCTCTGCAAGGATCCTCCCAGTATTTTCTTGGTTTTCTTTCCTTCCAGTGAAGAAACACCAACTGGAAATAATTATTTACTCTCCTTACTCTGTACCTATTTCAGCTTCAGTGAAATGGTCACAAGCTGTGGGTTGCATCCAGCCAGATTCAGTCACATTTAAGGTCCTTAAAATAACTGAGAACACAATTTAAGACCCACTGCTTCCAATGAGTCTAAGCTGTTTGTTTAAGCCTGGATTCTCCATCCCCCACTCCCTTCATTTCACTGCACTGCTTTCAACTTCATCTGCACAACACGTGAGCATATGCGTGTATACTCCTCGGCAAGATGATCTCAATAGACTTCCTTGGGCTCACCTGCCCCTCACTCCTATTGCCATTGTCCGATCCTTGACTTCACATCTGCCCCGAGAAGATGGGGAAGTGAACAGAAGCTGATGTTCCCTCTCCTTGCTCTTCTGGTCATCCCTGAGAATGCAGACAAACGGGGAGCTGTAGCAAAGAGGACGAGCAGAGGGGCAGGGACCTCCCGCAGCTGGCAGTGGGCCCTTGCAAAGGTGTAGCTCTTAGCAGATGCCCAGTAATGCGGATCCCTGGTACCAGCGCAGAGACTGGAATCCACTTATGTCAAGCACAGGCCAGAGCAGCGGCGTAAAATGCAAAGGAGGCGAGGCATGGATCTGAACACAGGCTGAGCCAGTCTCTTCAAGAAGTGGTAAGGACGGGGTGCAGTCCTGCACCCTCCAGATGCAATTGCCTTTGTCTACCTGGAGCTACCCTAGAAGAATGCTTGGCAGCTTACGCCACTGCAGAATGTGGGGGTGCCATTCCAGCTTTTGTTGGCAGGTGGCAGCAGAGAACAGGTAGTGGGAGTTGGATGGGTGAGGAATCTTCCATCAAGTCAAGCCAGAGCTTTCCCTGGAAGCAAAAATGATGAAACGGAGGTTGTCATACTCCTGAAGAAGACCTCCTGGAGAAGACCATATGTTGCGGAAACTCAATCACAGAAGAAGAAGAGGCAGACCAAATATGAGATGGATCCATCCCATAAAGGAAACCACCGCCTGGAGTTTTCAAGAGTTGATCAGGGCTGTCACAGACCGGAGATTTTTGGAGGGTATTAATTCGCAGGGTTGCTATAGGTTAGAGGTGTTTTGACAGCATGTAGCAACCACAAATCCCACCAGACAAAATGCAGAGAGGCAGCATTAATGGTTCATGTTGACTGTCAAGTTTGCTTGCCCAACTGAGGTTACTTCCAGGCCCCTGGACACACAGAAAGACTCCAGCACCATGTTTCAAATGATCACCTGATCACACTTATGATTTGAGTAATTTTACTGGGGATCCAGATGATGTCATCTTCCATTTGTAGCCCTCTTGTGTTTCCACACTGTCCCCCCTCTCCCCCCCCCCACTAAAAATCCTCCATGTGGACTGGAAGTACACTTGTTAAGACATGTGAAGCTGTTGGTTCTTTCCATCCAAACCCAAGCTTAGGATATTATGCTGAATGCATGATCAAACTGGGATCAATGGCTGGGATCAATTTTAAAAAATCATCAGTAGTTAGAAAAAAATAAAACCAACATTATATTCCAAAGAATCTCAAGATGGTTTACAAAAAGGAAAACTGAAAGGAATTTTGGAATGGTTTTCCTGACTGTAGTTGGTAAGTGTATGCTCTGTGGTTAACAGTCTAGAAAATAAAGTACTGAAGCTGAAAAATCGAATGCAATGAGCAAACTATAATGGGACATTATCCTGTCTAGTTTAGCCATAATACTCGGGCTGGTGTGTAGATGCATTTATTTTAACATCACATTCATTTGTAGCCCATGTTTTGCTGATCTCAAATGCACATAGTAGCTTATGAGGAATTTAAAAACCACAACAAAAATTAGACTAATCAATCAGGAAAACCAAACTGCAGCAAGAGTATCTACAAAGACAACTGCTCAGAAGAAAAACAAGCAACTTTACACAGCAATTCAACAGAATAGAAATACAGGCTAAAGGTGCTCTGTCTGCGCTTCCCCAAGTGTTGCTAAAATAGATTGAAAAATCTCAACCTGTTGCAGGAAGGGAGCTAGAGAGGACCATGGGGGAAAGGCCAAAGAACTTGTGAAATCAGGAATCACAGGTGAGCAGGTGTAATCCCCAAAATCTGTTTGAAAAGAGATAGATTTAGTCACAATTCCACTGCCCCCATGCCCTCACCCCTGTACTTAACAGTTTGGGGATGGGACCTGGGTGGGGGGTTGTGGGCATTGTGAGCAGCAGTGCAGCTAGGTAAGGTTAGACCCAGGAAGATGATTTTAAGGCAAGGGGAGGCTTTAGGCAGCCATCTGCCCTGCACAACTAGCACTTTTCTGTGCCCCATTCCAAACTTGTTTCCACTTCTACATCCCTGTTATGCTGGCACATTAATAAAACTACCTGCAGAGCCCGATAATTCTCAAAATAATACTCTGAAGCACGTGCAGGTTTGCATTTTCTATGGGGTTTGCGTCTCGTGCCCCACTGCCTTCATCGCCTGCCGTTTGTGGGTCCTCTGCATATGAAGCTCTGCAGGAGCAAGGTCATTTTGCTATTTTTAAAGTGAGAGGCATTTTATTCCCCTGTTCCGGAACCAACTTTATTCGGGGTAGACTAGCGCAGCCTCCTCAGGCAGCAGCAGATTCAAAAGTGCTGCAATTGGTCAGCTATTAAATTCATTATTCTGCTTTTATTGCCAAAGATTAGGAGAGGCGCGTGCCTCCTGCCCGAATCGCCCACCTGGCCTTGGGTCCCACGCACTGGAAACCTGTATAGCTGAGCAGGACCGCTCTTTTTGTCGTTGCATTTATGTCTCTGCTTTCTTCCTCTGGCAAGGAACTGGCGGGGCAAAATGAGCCAAAGCTCTGCTGTAAAAGGGCTGCTGAAAGCCCGACAGCGTTAGAGCAGCTGTTAGACCAGAAATGGGATGCCTGAGCTTCAGGAGTCCACACAGTGAGTCTTGCTCCCCATGTACGCCTCAGCAATGCCCATGCCTGCTGTCCTCTGACGGTGCCATCCTAGCGAAGGCAGTGGTTACCTGTCCTCGAGGCCCTTCTCCTCCTGTGGTTCCTGTCCCGATCAGGAATCGCGCTGCAAGGCTTGCTTCCCAGGTACACCTTAGAAAGGCCAGTGTCCCAGTCCTGAAAGGCCTGTCCTTTGGGACACACCCTCAACATGCTCTTGTCTGCTTGTCCTGAAGGTTCTTCTCTTTGGTTGAGGCCCCAAAGGTTCTTCTCTTTGGTTGAGGCGGGTGTTCAAAGCTAGGCTGGACATGCACATGGTGGCCATCTCGTGAGCGGAGCCAGCTGGAGCCGGGGGTCAGACTAGATGGCCCGGGAGACTCCTGACTCACTGTGTTTCTATGTTCTATCTTTCTGTGTTGTCCTAATTCCATTCAGCCCCCTTGTTTTATTCTCCTGTGCCTACCTGATCCCCACCTCTCCTCCAAAATGTAGCTGATAGGTTATAAAAAATCTCCATCTTGGTAGTCCCCACAGGGACTGCCTAAACAGCGTATGTATTTCCTGTATGTCTGAATAAACAGTGAATGTTATTTTTATTGGATTCAAAGTGAACTCTCTTGGGTGGGGGGGTTCACTCTTGACAGAATTTGAAGTAGCTTACAAGGTTCTCCTCCCCTTCGTTTTATCCTCAAAACAAGAACCCCATGACAAAGGTTAGGCTGAGAATCTGTAACTGGCCCAAAGTCACCCAGTGAGCGTCACAGTCAGGGAGGGATGAGAATCGCAGCCTCCGGAGTGGCCAAGAGAGCAGCAGCTGAGCTTTGTGGGGAGCAGGGCAGGTCTCGAGACTTTGCTCATTTGGCATCGTTCAGCTGCAGCTGTCTGAGGCGAGCATCTCACGCTACCGAATGGTAGGGCTGGGGCCGAAGAACACTCTCATGTTCCGAAGCTTCTCCTGCTCTGGATGAAAGTCAACCAGGCCCATCTCTTTCCCTGCAATGCTTCCATGCATCCCTTGGAGAGGCCTTTGTTCTGAGTGATACAGGTGTGTTTGGAAGAAGTCTGTGCAAACTCACTTTCCAGTGGAGTTCTCTTTTTTCCTTGCTGAATTTTATGAGTGTTCCCAGAACATTGCCTGCCTGAGGCAATCAAACATGATCACAGTAATTGTGCCGCGGTGTTCTTCCCTCTCTATAGCTTGCTGCTGCTATCTGCTGGAGGTTACTGACTTTAAGCAAAGCATGTCCTTTATTATTGGTACCTTATTGGCCAAAGCCATTATTGAACAAATATTGTAAGACTTGGACCGTAGTGCTGGCTGATCAATTAAGCAGACTCTTATATAAATATAGAGAGGAGGATTAATCAAGGATTATAAAAAGAACTGTGTGTACTAACACATAGGTAGAACAGCACCTAATGGACAAATTATCAGTTTATTTTGACCTGAATAGAAGCACAAGTCAAGTTTGTCCATGTTCTCCATATATTTGACCAGCTTTCTCTTTGTAGTCCTTTGCCTGCCTCGTACAAGAGTTTCTGGGTCGAGGAGCCACAGTTTGTCCCACATTCCCTTGATCAAAACTCAGTATTTTGTTTTTGCCAGGGCCGTCTCAAATTAAATTACTATAGTAATAGCTAGGGTTGGAAGGACTCACAGACTTCCTCTTGCTCTCAGATGGGTCTTGCAAGATGACCTGAGCCAGGAGGAAATCTGCGAACTCAAAGAATGAAGCATTCGCGACCAGCAACTTTCTTCCATGTTACATGCAACAGCCCAAATGTTGCTTGCTGCATGGGGCCCGATTCCTGGCGAATGCCACGTGAATGGCATGCTCACCAGAAACTTGGACTCGCGGCCCCTGCAAAGGAGACGAGCCTGGGGAGAGCTGAGCCCTGGGGAACCAACAGATTCCCACCCCCAAGGGGATTCCTCACACAGCCTAACCTACAGCTCCATCGCTTCTTTCAGAGTCCAGACACAGAAGATTACCTCCATAGGATCATGGCTATTGTTCGCTTTACCCAGGGCTTTTTTTGTAAAAAAAAAAAAAAGTGCCGGAACTCACGTCTTGGGGTCACACTTTTACAATAAAAAAGATTTTCAATTCACCAACTTTTTTTGAAATAAAGAACTTATTTACCTTTCGCACGTAGCCAGTCACTCTACACACACATCAACATAATGGTCGCCGCCGGCAGTAAGCACTCAGCGCGCGACCACACGACCGATCCCAAGCCGAGCAGCGCCCTCACAATCAGCGCCAACGATCAGTGCCGGCACACAAGCAGCCCACAGGCACTATTTTAATGATTTTTGCCGCTGACCTGCTGAGCCCTACAGGCAATTCAAAATCACTTCGTAAAATCCATTGGAAAAATCTGTCAAAAAAAGGTGCCGGAACGTCGTTCCAGGGTGTTCTATGACAAAAACAGCCCTGGCTTTACCAGAAGCAAGGCCTTTTGGTTGGCTGCACCAGATTTTGGAATTCCTCTGCAGGAAGGTTCAGCTGAACTTTGCCCTTCTCACTGGCAGAGAACTGTTTGGGGAGGAGAGCTGACTCGGCTTCCTCTTGTATTTTTAATAGCTGTGTATGTAACTATTGACAGTAGCTTTAGACAGCCTTTGGACAGAAATGGCAGGTCAAGAGGACACCCCTCCGCCCCGTTGCACACACAGAAGCCAAGGTGGAATCTCGCTTCCACCTTGGTGAGAGGACAACATCCCCCTCTGCAGGTGCAGGCAGCAGGCTAGCTTGGGGAGGTGGGCACAGGGCAGAGCATGTGGCACTCTGGGCTTTACCTGCCAGCATCGCACCCTTTGCTTGCTCACTCCCCACTCAACACATGTTGCCTCTGCCGGTTCACTTGATCAGGGCCTTTCCTAACATGGGTTGGGAGAAGGTAGCCAGGTTGCTCAGGCTAGCAACACGCAAGCCAGCATCTTCAGCAGCAGCAGCGGCACCACCACCACCAGAGCACGGCTGTCTCTGGGATGCCACTTCTGGGGAATGGGAATGGCATCAGGGTTGGACAGCAGCTACCTCCCTGCCCAGCAACCTGAAGCAGTTGCCTTACTGCATCTCTCCAGAGAAGGGCATAATTCAGGCCAAATGTGCCCCCCCCGCCCCCCACAGCTAGTTTTGCAGGCCATGCTGCTTATTTGGTGGTGGGCCATGTGATTGTGGTGAAACACCCATTTCCCTCTAGAAATGGAGGAAGAAAACTGTTCCCAGAAGTCTCTGAGGAGCACACAGTGGCAACTTGGCTCATGATCTTCATTCATTCCATGACTCTGGTTGCGACCCAAATTGGTCGTGAGCCAGGTCAAATTTCCCCATAAGATTCAATGTAAATAAAGTTAATACGTTCTGTAACTATTCTTTTTAATTACAAAAATTGGAAGCAAAGTGACAAAGAACAACAAAGATCATGGCCATCTCCCCCCCCCCCCTCCACAGCATGGCCGTGATCGCGCCTGTGCAAGGAAGATGGACACAATCTCTATCATCACCCAATGCGGAGTTTGTGACCTCAGGCAATTTTTTTCTGAAATTTCTGTTCACGACCCGATTTGGTCGTGAACTGAGGTGTTCGTGAGCAGAGGTAATACTGTACTTTTAATCTCCCAGTGTTGTCAAAGACACTCCTAGCCAGATAGTGTTACTCACAGCATGAGGCCGCCAGCCAGGCCTTCTCCCCTTCTAGATGATTTCAGCACTGCCTCTGTGCAATTTCATGCCCAGCGCTGTTCTTTCCACCCCACCTCAAGGCTGTCTGGTCCAATCAGATGTGGAATGGTGAGAATCTGGCATATTTTGAACACCTGCACTCTGACCCTCAAGGTGGAAAACAAAGTCAGGTGGGATATTTTGCCCTGTGTCGTGCTAATTGCCAGTTTTATTCCCTGCTTCAAAGCACAGTGGAAGCTTTCACCAGGCAGATCTGCCGCTATGGAACCTGCTCTGTTGCTGACTTCCCTCCTCTTGCTGCAGCCTGTTGTTGGTAAGAACTGGCATTTGAAAGGAATGTGAGTGCAAATCAGAGGGTGGGGGAGGCTGGGGGGATTTTAAGTGAATTCCTCCCCCACCTGCGATGACCCCTGTGAGAGCCAGGTAGCAGCTCTGTGTGAGGGGCCCGTCTTTTATTGAAAAGGTTTGCATTGACTGCTACATTCTGGGTGCGTTCAGATGATACTTCAAGCCTGCCCTAAGCCACACTCAGGCTGAAAGCTGGAGAACCCCTTGCCCAGAAATAACAAGAAAGGGCTTCCATGCGGCTACGGGACTCTAGCGGACAACAGGCGGCAGGCTGCCCACTGGCACTTTGCGGAATGGTCTTTGGCTTCCCCCGTGATCTTTTCAGTGCTGGTGGAGGGAAAGCCATCCAGATCGGCTTTGTGCAGCCCATTCAAACCCCATTTGGTCCTGGGGAGGCAGCGCGTGGCAGGGGGACCAGCCGCTTGCACCTCGAGAGGAAGTGAAGCTGAGCCGCTGCGTCGTGCCTGCGGCCACCTCAGCTGAGGGGAGAGCAGGCAACGCTTCCCAGGTCCCCTCTCCCACTGCAGGGGAAGCATCTCCTCCTCCCATTGCCTTCCACGGCAGCATCGGATTGAGCATCGGCTTGGCCAGGCACTGTGAAGGGAGGTCCCGGAGCGGGGAGAGAGGGGCCCTGGACCGCGTGCCCTCCTCTTTCTGAAGAAAGGCGAGCAGGACGGCGTGCTTTTGCCTGCCTCTGCCACTGTGGCCACGGGTGGGATCCAGTCGCTTGGCCTGTTCCCCTGTCCTGCTCCTTGCTCATGCTGCCTCCCCGAGAGCCAAAGAGGGCTGAGCGGGTGCTGTGCAGCAGGGCCCAGAGGCCTCTCCCGGTGCTCCTGCCAGGGCGGAACAGGGAGCGAGATGGCTTGCGAGAGCAAGGGAAAGCAGCGGGCAGCTGGGCCAACTGCCACGTGGACACTTTGCTGGCTCTCCTCAGCTGGAGCACTTGGTCAGGGGGACGACTCTTGTTGGCCGCTTGAGCTGAGGCTCCCTCGGGCCTTTGGCTTGACCATGGCTTGGCACTTCATCTGGGCTTGTATAACATGCACGAGATTCCCTAAACCCACTACATGCCTGGGCTAGTTGGGGAGAGAGGGGAGGGGGTCAGATGATGCGTTAAGCTACCCGCTGGGCGCTGGCCGGCCATGCACACCCGGTCTTCAGCTTGCCAACCTGCATTTACTCGCATAGTGCCACAGACCTCTGTTTTGTATGTTTTGCTGTATTTTATTGCTGTTTTTAATGTATTATGGTTTTCATTGTGGTTTTATCTCGTGTTGCGAGCCGCCCAGAGGTGCTGTGGCACAATTGGGCAGCGTACAAATGTTTTAAACAAACAAACAAACAAACTTTGGAACAGCTGGACCATCGTGGACAACATATGGTGTGCAGAGGAGCACATGCTAACAGCAAAACACTCTCGAGATGTCCATGTGGGACTTCTCATGGAGTCAGGGATTTTGCTTCCTGAAGCAAAGCCCCAGTGGCGCCCACCCCACCCTGCCAGCTTCGCTTCCAAGAGCTTTGCTGTGTCATCCAAACAACCATTTCCCGCACCCGCTGCTCCCTTATGCGACGGGAAGCGAGTGCCTTTTCTGTTCCGACGACCTGCCGCACGGCAAGACAGGAATGCCAAATGGAGCACTTGAGCCTTTACATCCATGGACATAAAATGAATTTGTATTTGTATTGCATTTTAATGTATTTTAACTGCATTTTAATTTTTTTATACTATTTTAACTTTTTTTTAAAAAAATCCTGTTAATGTTGTTTTAGCTAGTGTATTTTACTGTTTTTATACTTTGTTGTTAACCACCCAGAGAGCTTTGGCTTTGGGTGGTATAGAAATAAAATTAATAATAACCATTTTTATTAGGCCAAATGAAGAATTGCCAAAAATATGCAAACCCCGCTCTTTTCCTCTTCCATGCAGATGTGGCTTCAATATCAATTCAGGGTCTCTTTTCTTCTCTCTCTTCCACCCCAGGCATGACATGTGGAACAGCTCAGGAGATCACAGAAGCATTGGGGTGGTCTTTAGGTTGGCTTAATTAAGTTCCCAAGCTAAACATAAAATATAGACTAAACTTAGAAGTATTATATTAACACAAATGTTCAAATTTTGCTTACGGACAAGACAGCTCCTTTTTCTTGTATGTTCTAGAGAATAACCAACTGGGTATCCATTCAATATAGTAATATCGATACTAGAATAAGGAGGTTTTAAACCACAGGAAGGTGGGACTGGCAGGTTCTTCCAGTGTTCATCCTCTGCAGTAATATGAATGTTGGAATTTTGCTTTCTGAGTTTCAGTTCATGTGTTTGTGACTTCCATGTTCGGTAAGCTTGAGTGTGCCAGTGTTCTAGTTCTCATGAAGAAAGTCCAGCCTCATAAGGCACAGTGCATCTTTAAACCGCGAAAGCTGGGTGGGAAATGCTAAGAGTTGCAGGACTTTTCCCTGTCCACACATGCAAGAGATGGTGCCCTTCAGAACTCATGCAGGAATTACATTTAGCCATATTTTTCAACACCAAACGATCACACAGGAAGGTCACATGTGAGCTCTGTCTTAGTTTATCTCCTTGGGAAATGAGAAAGACCATTGAGTTATCTGGGGGAGTGATTTCGTTCCGATATTCTTCTGGCCGGCATTGGTGCCCACCTGAACATGATGGTGGGCTTTCTTGGTCTGTGTTACAGGATTGGCATTCCATGAGCGGATCATTGGAGGTCAGGAATGCCCAGAGGATGAACATCCTTGGCTTGTGCAGCTGTACAACTTCGAGGAGCCCTACTGCGCGGGAACATTGCTCAACTCTGACTGGATCATCACTGCTGCTCATTGCTACTTACAGTGAGGGACAACAATTTGCTTATGAATGCATTTAGAATCCAGTTTCAGTTCATGGGCGAAGTTTCAAGTTCATTCCTAAGGGAACTCCTACTGAGGACAGCTTGTTCCTTCCACATTATATCCAAGTAAATTCCCATGTAACTTTTCCAAATACATATCTGGGTCCAGAGCACAGCAAAAAAGCAAGGTCCTGTTGATAAGGTTCTTCCCAGAACAGTTGCATTGCTGATCAGTTCTGGTATGACTTTTCATTTGAAGACACTTGTGAGGTCACTGCCCAAAACACTAACTGGTTTCTGGTAACACAGCAACCCACACCTAAACTGAGTATGGGTTGCTGTTAAACTGGGTGGTTGTCAAACTGTGAATTTTTGGATTGTCTGATCCCAGCAGTGGTGGGGAGGAGAAAGGGAGTGGAGCCTTTGGGGGAAAATGTCCTATTCAAACTTCCTCTGAATTATCAGGTGGCAATCCTCGGAGTTATCAGCTGGGAGTGCAGCCAACAGCTGCAGATCATTTGCTAGAAAATAGGCAGGCCAAGGTCGCTTAATTACTGCTAGCTGGATTTGCATGACATGCTAAACCGCTGGTGGCCAAGAGTGTTGTGTGAACTTCCCCTGTTTTCCTTGGGATGGTTTAAAAGCCACCCTGGAGTGGTTATAACCCACCCCAAGGAGCCATGGCTTGTTTTGGAGTTTAGGTTTGGAAGACATAAACCATGGTCAAGCTGCAACATAGAAGAGTCTCTTGGCAGGAACAGCAAAGAAGAGACCATGGCCACACTCTGTCACCTCCTCCTCAAGCTCCACTCGGGGATTGAAGACAGAAGAGACGTGTATCAGGGGAAGGTCGCAGTCAACTATTCTTGCTGGAGAGAAATCCAGTCTTAATGCATGAAGTTCTCACTACTCAAATGTAATATATGTGGGGGCAATTCTGCCTGCTGATGAGGCAGAATGCATGTGTTTCCCACACATGCATGAACCTCTTCACTAATCTGACTAGTGAGGATTTTGTGAGCTTGTTTGGGGGACTGGGTGGCAGCCAAGCAGGGGGAAAGTGAGCTCAGGTGCCTTGCACTGGGCTAAGGAGCCCAGCAGGTGGTGGCTCGTGCCTCCCTCCCTACTGCTCAGGTGTGGCACGTGACTGAGCAGTGGGGGAAGCAAAAAGCCCATGCCTGGCTTGGAAACTCATCAAAAAGCTGCCCATGCCACCTCCCCACTGCTCAGCTGTGGTGCACCACTGGATGTGAAAGCCCAGGACACAGTGGCCCTCCCCTTCCCACCACTTGGCCATGGTGCAGCTCAGCTAAATTGCATCATGGTGCGTTCCAAGGGACAAGCCACCTTACACTGGGCTTTGAAAGCTAGCATCAAGCAGCATATGGCACTCTGCTCCAGATTCCTTACCCTGTACTTCCACCAGTGTCAGAACAGCAGGATGAGCAATCCTGTGCTCTGGTACCAGCAGGAATGCAGGGCAGGAAAGAAGGTGACAGCTGTCAAAAGTGCCCACTTTCAGCAGCTGTCATCCTCCTCAGTCAGCATCTCATGGATACTGACTAGAGGACCAAAGGTAGAGCAAGGAGGGAGGGACAGAATTATATAATCATAGAATAGTGAAGTTGGAAGAGGCCATGAAGACCATCAGGTCCAACCGCCTGCTGTTGCAGGGCACCAAGTTACACCATCCCACCCAGATGGCTGTCCAATTTCTTTCTGAATGTCTCCATTGTGGGAGAGCCCACCACCTCTCCAGGCAGATGGTTCCAGTCTCATAGAATCATGGAATAGTAGAGTTGGAAGGGGCCATTAAGGCCATCAGGTCCAACCACCTGCTGTTGCAGGACACCAAGTTACACCATTCCACCCAGATGGCTGCCCAATTTCTTTCTGAATGTCTCCATTGTGGGAGAGCCCACCACCTCTCCAGGCAGATGGTTCCACTGTTGTATTGGTCTGACAGTGAGGAAGCTTTTCCTAATGTCCAGCCTGAATCTGGGTTGTCACAACTTGAATTGATTATTCCGAGTCCTACAGTCTGGCATCAGCAAGAAGAGATCTTGACCTTCCTCTTTGTGACAGTCTTTGAGGGACTTATAGAGGAATATCATGTCCCCCTTCAGTCTTCTCAAGGCTGAACATGTCCAGTTCTGTCAGTCTCTCCTCATAGGGCAGGTTTTCCAAACCTCGGGTCATTTTTGTTGGGATGTGGTCCTCGAAGAATCTGCTGTGCCCGGTTGTTTGCTGTGCTCACCCACTTTTAGCTCAAGGGGACTGTATACCTACCTGTTGTGGAGTTTTCAGAAGGGAGGCAGAAGAATAGTGAGGCAGTCCAAGTTTCTGACTCATCCTCAGGAGAAAGAAAATCCTTGGACCCAAGGCAGTCAAGCTCTTCCTCAGTTACAGCCAGCCCAAAGGCCAAGTCAAATATCTGCCTTAAGCATCTGTGTAGACTTTGCTTTGAGAGACCTCTGAGATCTTTGCTGACTTTTTTGCAGGGATGAAATCCGTGTAAAGCTTGGCGTGCACAACCAGGATGTTCCAAGAGGGGATGAAGCGTGGAGAGTCAGCGTGGGCACCTTTTGCTACCCTGATTCTGCCAGCACCACCAGCAGCACCTGTGCAGACCACAAAGATGACATCATGCTGATCAAACTGAACAGCTCAGTTACCTACAATAAGCACATCTCTCCACTCAGCTTGCCTGACTATGCTTCTCCTGTGGGAACATATTGTACTGTCATGGGCTGGGGCTCCATCACAACCAGTCCAGGTAAGAAAAAAGGCCCACACAAGGTTCGCTGCACACTCGGGCATTTGCCAGAGTTCAGACCAGTCCTGGTTGTCACCATGGCTGTGCCCACGTGGGCAACTTTGCCATCCTCCAGAGCTGGGCATGGTTAAACATGGCCTCTAGAAGTGGAATGGGCATCTGCACCATGCCACAAAACACATCGCCGAAAACAAAGGAAAAGAGCCACATATCTGCATATCGGTACAAGCTAATTTACACGTGCGGGTGCAAATGAGTTACTGTGCGTTAAAATGCTGCATCACACTGTAGTAGGAAACCCTTTGACCATGTGCCCCATGTGCATTTGACCATGTGCCCCATGTGCACCATGGGCAACTGAACTGCTGTTGAGAGGCAACTTCAAGGTCCCTTCCTGCTCTCCCTTCTGTCCATTCTTTATCCTTAAACTGCATTTGGACTGGGCAGCCCATCAAACAGAGAACACCATGAAATGGAGGACTGCCCTCTGTAAAGCAGGTTGCATGGCTTGCCTAGCAGATCAGTCATTTGTCATTTCACCATAATGAGCGAAGGCTTCAGTTCTCAAACAGGGCACTCTTGGCACAGATCACCTGCAAACATGGGAGAAAGATCAGGAGGGTTTTGGGGTTGCTCATCTTTCATCTTGCAGCTTCAGTACACTGACTCACCATGACCTGCTAGAAAGTCCTAAAATTCCTGGAAGCAGCACCATGCATGGCCAGATCCTTTCTAAAGCAATACAGCTATTCCCATTTCCCACCAAAAAAAATGCTCACTTGCAAACCTCTTAGCAGACCATCTTGACCATCCTTTTTGGTTTTCAGACACTTATCCCAACGTCCCTCACTGTGTTTCCATCAAGATGCTGAAGAATCACTTTTGCCAGGATGCTTACCCATGGTGGTCCATGACGGACAACATGTTTTGTGCAGGATTCCTGGAAGGAGAGAAAGACTCATGCCGGGTAAGCAAGTTTCCTCTCTGGGCAGCATTGCAAAAGGAGGGAGGTTGGCTCCTAGAACCATGCAAGAAACCCAAGCTGAGATGTTCAGTTGGTAACTCTTTCATCGAGCTCAGAATTCCATGTAAGCTACAATGGATCCCCAAACCAGGATATTTTTGTTTCCCTCCACCATCTCCCACTCATTCCTTGTGTCCCAAATGGTGCTTTAGTACATACAGAGAGTGGTTGAGTTTTTGACCAGTGTTGCCTGCCCCTCTCTGCTCTGGAGTGATAACCTATAAACCCAACTCATGCTTCTGGGTTTCTCTGTAATGACAACCCATGGTTAAAACATCTCAGAGTTCCCAACCCAACACCAAACCATGCATTCTTTTCCTGGATCTTTTGTGGTTAACAATCCATGGTTTGTTAGAAGTCTGGGTTCTCACTTAATGACAATGAAGAAATCAACAACCCATGAATTAACTAGACCATGAATTAGGGATGTGACAGCCAAGTCATATTGTAGTCTAAGCAGGAAGAAGGTATTTCATAATGTATTCTGCTCTTTCAATAGGGTGATTCTGGGGGACCTCTTGTCTGTGATGGACAACTCCAGGGAATTGTATCTTTGGGAGGCTACCCCTGTGGCGAGCCACTGCAGCCCGGAATCTATACCAAGGTCTACAGCTATCTCCAATGGATCCAGAATATTCTTGATCCAGTTGCAAACAGCCCTGATCGCTCCAAATTGGATTAGCAAGAGAAAACTCTTGAGTCATCTTAACAGGAGTGGAATCCAAAACATACACGTGCGAGTCAATGTCTCTTTTCTCACACCTTAGATCTCAAACTAGGCACTCTTTTTCCTGACAGTAAATGTCATGGGACATAATGAAACTCCTTTTGGGCAACATGTGTACCAATGACATGAATCCTCAATTCCTGGCAGGATGCATGTTTTCCTCAATGCCTGAGAAGGGATCTCTTCTCAGAGGAGGGTAAGCATGGGACATCCTGTTTCATAACAGTAATTTCAAGATGGCTGTTTGAACCCTATGCACTAGAATCTTGGGTCTTGTGATTCTGGGATGGGCTGCATGTGACTTCTCTAAATGCTAATGATCCAAATAAAAATAAAAGAGACTTCAGCATTCCTTGAATCCCATAACAGAAGCATCGACCACTTGTTTTCCTCTCACACGTGCTTGACAGTGCGCACAAATGAATGTAAATCAGTGCCTCTTCCCTTCTGTGTGGGGCTTGGTCTTACCTTGAAGAATGAAAAGCTTGGTAAACAAGGAATGGTTGATTCATCACCTTCTGTATAATGAAGCAGGGGCCACCCTTTTCTTAGGAAGTTCCCTCATGAAGGGGAAGGCTTCGCTCAGGAGTCTTGCAGCAGATTTGGACTCCCCAGATGGTTCTCGCCCCCCCACCTCTTTTCCCTTAAATCCCTATAATTTGGGGTTCCCCACTTTGAAAGTTGTGCACATTCCTGCACATTCCTCTCTGGTCCCCTTACCAGCAGTCCAAGAGAGTGAGATGCTTCTCCAAAACCTTAGTGGCAGGAAGAACTTTAAATGAAAATATATATACAGTATTTGGAAAGTTTCTCTTTTGCCTTTCAACCGCCTCCACTGAGAACTTCTCCAAATTGAATTTAGCCCAGGGGTGTCCAAACTTTTGGCTTCTCTGGGCCTCATTGGAAGAAAAAAAAGTTCTCTTGGGCCACACATTAAATGCACAAACACTATCAAAAGCTGATAAGCAAAAAAAAAAAAGTCTGTGCATAATTTTTATAATATCTGCCACCACAGATATTATAATCCTAATTATGTGGCTCCCCATTTGGAGAGTTTTTTTTAAATCATCAAGCAAGTCCAAAGTTTGTGATCACTAATAGAGAAAATGAACATATGTAAGTAATAAAACTTCATTGTTTTTTTGTTTTGTTATTATAAAAGTAAAAGAAAAGAGGCCAACATAAAACTAGTGGGATATTTGACATTGTATCTGAGAAACTAATGGATCAATATTTGGTTTGATGGAAGTAGATACAATTCTCAGTGAGGCCTCAAGGTGCTCATCAGATATTCTGGTTCTAATTTTACTCTTAGTGTGCTTTATTCTTGCACATGATTTAGCCCTTGAGCTGAAAGGGAATCAATAGACTTGGCTTAACTTACACATGGTCAGTGAAAGTTGCAACCCTCCATAGGATTGCTGATGGGATTTAAGTTGTTAAGCAGTTTTGGCAGTGGGTGTGTGTGATCATTAGGCCTCTGTGTAAAATCCTTTAATTTTTAGGCTGTTTAAATTTGCTCCCTTTTAATAACTAAGAAATGCAATACAATCCTATTCATGCCTACTTAGAAATACGTCCCCCTAAGTCCAGTGGGACTCTCTCTGACATCAGTGTCTTTGGGATTGCAACTCTAGCTGCTGACCCTTTCATCCAGAAAGGATTCTGTTACTTAGACTACCATCCCATACCAATTGACCTGGGAATATGTCCCACTGAATCCAATAGGATTCAAGAATCCAATTCTTGAATAGGAATGCATAAGATCTCATCATGAAGAGCTTGTTTGCTAAATACCAGGAAAGTTGAGCCAAAGAGTTTCCTCCTAGTGCCTTGACTGAAGATTTTAGATTTTTGGAATTCAAAGTGTTGGACTTCTGGGGAAATAGATGTGAATGCCAGAAGCTTTCAGGGCCCCTTCCTGTTCTGAACTCAAGCTTCCTGCAGGAGCTCAACATACCAGAGGTTCATTTGGAAATAGATGTGAATGCCAGAAGCTCTCAGGGCCCCTTCCTGTTCTGAACTCAAGCTTCCTGCAGGAGCTCAACATACCAGAGGTTCATTTGGAAATAGATGTGAATGCCAGAAGCTCTCAGGGACCCTTCCTGTTCTGACCTCAAGCTTTCTGCAGAAGCTCAACACACCAGAGGTCCATTTGGACTCTACAAGAGGAATATTACCTGTTGATTTATTGCGGTTTCCATGCCAGAAGATTAGTGCATCCTTCTCATGAGGTTTCTTCCCTAGGAAATTTCCTCTCTGCCTTTCTATATGTCCTTATAAGTTCCACTACACAGCATAAGGTTTCAGTGTATCAACTCCTTTCCGAAATGCAACTATGCTTTTGCATATCCTGTTACAGAGTTGTGGAGGCAAGTGGGATTAACTACAGATCAGGTGTGTTCACATGGCATGACAAACTACTCTGGGAATGCTGGGTTGATTATTGCATTGGCAAACCACAATGTACCCAGGAAATGACTGGGCTCTCCATGGCTTGTCTGTCCCTTCCCCTTTCCACTTGTTCTGCCCCCCTGCAAGTATTCCTGCAGCAGGACCTGAAGGAGGACTGACTTCTCTCCCCACTTCCCCTTGATTGTAGGTCTTTAGTGTTCACTGCTGCTTCCTTTGTCTAATCAATAAAGGGAGCTATTCAAGAATTATATAGATATAGCCCAATCAGGGCTTATTAAAAAAATGGAAGCTGGCATAAGGTGGAAGGAAAACTATGTAATTCATAAAATAAAAGTCGATCAGAAACTAGGAGCATTTAAAATCATGGGTCATGAAAAAGCATTTGATAGAGTTCAATGGCAAGTTCTGGTAGAGTACAATTTGAACAATGAGTGAAATTGTTCAGTGATAAAAAATAGAATCAAGTGGATACTTATCGGTTAATTTTGATCTAATTAGAGTCACAAGATAGAGTTTTCAGTTCTCTTCAGTTTATTTGTTATGCTTTTGGAAACTTTAACTGCTCATATTAAAGAGGAAGATGAAAATGAAGGCCTCATATGTGGGGCGACACTGCTCAACCAAGACTACTGGGTGCTCAGTGCTGCTCATTGCTACGAAAGGGGAGGGATGATACAGTGCCAGCAAGTCTGTTCAGTTTCGGCTCTTGGCAATCCTTCAGGTACCAGTTACCCAACCATTTGCAATGATGGAGTGCATGTGAACACCCACTGTGGGCTGTAATTGCCTTTTATGCATGGAGAAGTTACATCCAAGTAAATTTCCATTTCACTTTTCCAAATACAAATGTGGAGCCAGCACAGAACAGGAATGCAAATACTACCAGTTTCATGGGTCAACAATTCTGTTGTGACTTTCCACCTGAAGGCAGTCGTGAGAGCACGGTCAAACACATGGCATGTTTTGAGCAGTGAAGGTGAAGTTGAACTCTTTTAATGGTGGGAGTGGTGGAGCTTTTCCAGCTTGCAGTCTGTATGCCATCAAGACACTTTCTTCTCTTATGTGCATGTCAAGGACTTTTCTGAATCCGCGCGCATGACACCTAGGAGCATTAGTATTCATGGATCATGAAAAAGCATTTGATAGAGTTGGATGGCAAGTTATAGTAGTGTCAGTTTTGAACAGTGGATGAGCTAGTTCAGTGATAAGAATAGCATCAAGTAGATATTTACCAGTTACTTTTGATCTAATTAGGAGCACAAGGCAGGGTTTGTCAGTTCTCTTCAGTTTACTTGTTATGTTTATGGAAACTTTAGCTGCTGCTATTAGAGCAGAAGCCTCTTATTCAAGGGCTATAACAAGGGTCCTCAAACTTTTTCAATAAGGGGCCAGTTGAAAGGCGGCAGTGGTGGGCACAGGTGCACTGGGAGGGGGACAGGCATGATTGTGGATGCAGTCAGGAGAGAGATGGGCGTAATCAAAGGTGCACTGGGGGGGGAGACAGGTGTGAGCGTGGGGGCACTGGGGGGGAGACGGGTGTGATTGAGGGCATGCATGCAGCTAGGGGGTGGGCACGGTGAGCCAGTGGTGGCAGAAGCGGGCACACATGCCATGAGGGAATGAAAGAAAGAGTTCAAAACCTCTGAAGCTGACCAGATAAATGGGCATTGTGGACCAGATCCAGCTCATGGGCTGTAGTTTGAGGACCCATTGTCTATACTTTCCCCTCCACAAAACAGGACAAAGAACAGTTTAGGGTGGTTTTAATTTATTCTAAAATTAAGATCCAATTGTCCAAACAATTTATTGTGCAGCATAAATCTATAATAAAAAATCTGGGAACTTTGGTTGTATGGGTTACAGAGGAAAAACTAGAAATAAATTACAAGAAATCTCTTCAACAATTATAGGCATGTATGGAACAATAGTTAGAAATTAAGTTCTCAGTAACAGGAGAAGCTTCTGCCATTAAAAAGAATGTTCAATGGAACATTATTTTCATGAGATCTGATATTCTGTGTAACTGGTTGAACTGCTCAACTTATCACCCTACAATCACATCAGCTATTCTAAGTTATCTTTGGAACAGGGAGATATTATTTATTTATTTATTTATTTATTTATTTATTTATTTATTTATTTATATTGCGATTTATATCCTGACTTTTTCCTACAAAGGGCTCAAGGCAGCTTACATCATCTCTCCTCCTTCATCTTATCCCCACAACAACAACTCTGTGAGGTAGGTTGGGCTGAGAGTCTGTGACTGGCCCAAAGTCACCCAGTTGGCTCCATGGCCGAGCGGGGACTCAAACCCGGATCGCCTGAATCCCAGTCCCATGCTCTTAACCACTACACCACACTGGCTCTCATTATTCTATCTTTATTTTCAAAATATTAAGAGAGTACATTTTTGGGACTGGATCAACAAAACAGGTCAAGCCAGGTAGTGAATGGTAAGAATCTGGCACCTTTTGAACACCTGTGGCTGGATTTTGGGGTATAAATAGAAGGAAAGCAGCGGGTCGCCTTAACCTTGA